GGAGTGAGATACCTCCTACCGTTCTTCTATTCTTAAGGAGTGCTTTGCTTATTCGGGGCTTTTTTCCATTCCATACGAAATTGGAGATTGCCTTTTCCTCTATCTGTCTTTAAGTGGTGAGCTTTGGTGGCAGTGTGGGTTGTTAACCCTGAGGCCATGCTTATTCAGCAGTTTGAATCCACCAGGAATCTGGGACAAATGTAGGGTTTTTCTCAAGAGGATTCCAAGTTTTGAGTTTTTCCACTTGGAATTGAGACTAAATTAATCTTGTAAAAGGACTACCAAGATAAAGAAATTAAGTATATCAATAAGTAATGTGGTAGGGAGGAAAATAATTTTGTCATATCCCAAGTATTTTATACTGTGAGTAGAAGGGGCCCGAGGTCATGAGACTGTGAAGCCCATTTTAGTATTTGGAAGAACTTTGGTACTTGAGTTAACCTCTTTCTCTATAGGCCTCGTTTTCCTTACCTGTTGCCTATAAATAATCTTCATAAGGATCAAATGAGTACATCTTTAAGAACTTTTGTCTGTAAAATGCTTTTTTTTTTTCTTTCTAGGAGAAGCCAGCCAAAGTCAAGGTGGAGTTGACTTCCGGTGTCTCCTCCAAAGGATCCATAGTTAAAAGAAATCAGCAACAGCCTGTCACTTCTGAGCAAAATTCTCTGAAGGAAAATGCCTCAAGCCTGACCCTGGAGAACTCAGAAGCCGTAAACCAGCTTCTTAGTGTAGCTCCTTTAAGAGAGGGAAGTGAGGAGAATGATTGGGAGGAAGTGATTATCTCAGATGCTCATATTTTGGTCGCAGAAGCTCCTGAGAATCATGGTACAGCAGTTAGTACGCTGCCAGTCATCAAAAGTACTGTGAAGCCTGAGGTCACCCTAGGGACTACAGAAAGTGACAGTCCTGCATCAGACATACCACCAGCAACCGAAGGAACCAGTGCCTCTAGTTTACTTCTCTCTTCTAAAAAGCAGGCAGGGTAAGCTAGTGTGTTTTGCACTGTATTTTAGAATAGTAACATGATGTCCATGTTTGTTTTATTCCACATTCTTTCACCATTTCTGAACAGAGTCCAGCTGATGGTTCTTAAGGTAGATTTGCAGAAAGTACAGATTTCTTGTTGTTGATGTTAAGTACCATCAAGTCAAGTACAACCCATAGTGATCTGAGAACAACAAATTTGAAGCCTGTCCTATCCTTTGCCATCTTCACACTTCTGACATTCTAGAGACTATTGGAGCAGTTACTGGCGATCATTGAACACCATTGATGAAAGATCAGATGAGTTGTGGGATTATATCAAGGATATTCTCCATGAAGAGAACAAAAAGTTGTTAAAAGACAGAGGCGAAAAAAAAAAGTGACATGGATGTCAGATACTAGACTTGTTGTTGTTATGTGCTGTCGAGTCGCTTGCGACTCATAGCGACCCTATGTACTACAGCGGCCTCTAGCAGACACACCTTAGTCTCTAGAGACACCATTGCTCTTCAGTACTTTGGAGAGGTCCCTAACAGCAGACTTTCCCATGGCAATATGTCTTTTAATTTCCTGGCTACTGGTGCCAAGAGTGTTGACTGTGGAGCCAAGCAAACTAAAGCTGTGAACAATCTTGTACTGATATTAGACTTAGAAACCTAAATAATTTGCTTTTCTGCTTAACACTTTGCTCCACTCACTGCTGTCAAATCTCTTCTGACTCATAGTGACTCCATCAGGTTTCTGAGGCAAGAGGAAATGCATTTTTCTTTCTCCCTTATCATAGCTGATCGATTTGAACTACCAACTCTGGTTAATAGCTTAACACTTAACTTACTATACCACCAGGGCCCCTTTCATATTCTGGTAGCCATGGCCTTATTGTCAAATCCCTGTATATTTCCCCTCCCCCCCTTGCTGTCACAGGCTGTGGACAGTGTTACAAACCTGGATAGGCACTCTATAAAGACAAGGTCCAGATCTAGGGGTAGGCAGAGAACTCTGTTCTAGCCATGACTCTTTGCCTGTTTTCTGCTTTGAGTGTATTTGATTTCACTTTCCCTCTCTGATAAGTCTTGAGGTTGGGATTCAGAACTCCTCTCCTCTAACTGTGAGTGAGGTCAGTACCTTTGTACTATCTTATTCCTCCTTTTCTGCCTTTGTGGAACTGAATTCCACACCTAACCCCTTACCAGAGGCAATTGTGTATATAGGTCATTGGTATCTCATTTTACATATTAGGAACTTAAAGTTAACACAAAGTGAAATTACTTGTCTAAGCCTACACAGTTTGTTCAATTTAGAAATTATTTTACCTACCACTAAAGCTTGACCATTTAACCATTATACTATATTTTCACAAAGTGCCATTTGGAAATTGGAAGGTTGCACTTTGCTTTTCTTCTCCCTAGTTCAGGAGATTTTCCTTCTTGTATTTTCAGAGTTGACCTCACCACAGGTCCCAGAGGCTCAGAGCTTAAAGGCAGAGCACGGGGCAAGCCCTCGTTACTGGCGGCAGCAAGACCCATGAGAGCAATTCTCCCAGCTCCAGCTACTGTGGGGCGAGGCAGCAGCATGGGACTGCCCAGGGCCAGGCAGGCCTTTCCCCTGAGTGGTAAGGGCTGGGACAGACATGGGAAGAGGAACTATGAAATGGGAGGGGGGGACAGGCTTGGAAGTGAGAATGGGGATGAGAAGTCTGGGAGACCAAATGCTCTTAAGTCACCTGTTTGGCTCCTGGTTCTCTCAGATAAGACACCCTCTGTGAGGACTTGTGGTCTGAAGCCAAGCACACTGAAACAGCTGGGCCAGCCTGTTCAGCAACCATCCAGCACTGGTGAGGTGAAGGTAAGACCATACCCAGAGTGGGAGCTGTTGGAGGCCCTGGCTGTTCTGAGGACAGGGCTTCTATTTAGTGTATCAGAACTGTAGGCAACAAGGCAAACTCTTAAATCTTACATTGGCAGATCTCTGGGAGATGTTTACCATAAATGATTTACTGGGTGGGTGTTTGTTGTTGTTTTTTTTCAACTGTATAAAATTCATTTATTCTTTAATAGGATTTTATTTTCTCCCTTCAACTCTAATAATAAATTTTGTTTTAAGTGCACGCAGGCTTGTCCAGTCCACTTACAAACCAGGCATTTGCTGCATTTGAAAGCATCCTGCCATCTCCCCTCTGATTTTCAACCCAGATTACCCTTTACCTGGCTTTATCATCTCTGTATTCAGCCATTTCATTGCATTTCACTTTAGTGGCTCCCTTCTCTACTGCATTTTCCCCATAGAATGTATCTGACCTGTAGCTATTTATCAACCCTGCCCACCTTTCAAGAATTGCTATTCCTTGACCTTTTTTAAAAGTGTTACAAAATGAATGTATAGTTTTGAACTTTTTGTTTAGAAATAATTTCAGATTCCAAAAGCTATAAAAATAGTACAAAGAACACCAAAATGCTCTTTACCCAGACTTGCCTATTGTTAACATAGTACTCATTTTATTTTATTATTTGTACCTATGCTTGCTCCTTGCCTTGTGTGTGAATGACTGTGTGTGTCTCCATATGAGTAAAATACACATAATTTGAGAATAAGTCACTTGGCTTTACTCCTTAATGCTTCAGTGTATGTTTCTTAAGAATAAGGATGTTCTCTTACTGTACTTTTGATACAGTACTTTAATCTCTCAATTATGTTCAGGTTTTAGTCACTCCTTTCTATATATATGTCCTTTGCACTTTCAGTATAGGATCTAGTCTAAGATTAGAGAATGTATTTAGTTGTCACATTTCTTTGTTGTTGAGTGCCATAAAGTCAGTTCTGTTTTCTTAGGCTACCTTCTCCATGAGATCAGATTACTAGGTTTTCTTCCTGATAAAGCTACTGAAAGATTGGAACTCATGACTTTTTGGTTAATAGTCAAGTGCTTACCAAGCTTACCCACTGTGCCACCATGGCTCCTATATAGCTTTTTCTTTTTTTTAAATGAATGTTTAATTGTAGAAATAAGAAGAAAATAGTCCTCAAGCTCCCTTACTATGTTAGGTGCCATTGAGTTGGAACTAACTTATAGCTGACCCTCCAGCAGGTTTTCAGAGGCTGTAAATGTACAAGGGAAGATTTCCCGTCTTTCTTCTCAGAGCCGCTGGTGGATTCAAACCACCTGCCTTTGGCAGTGCCACTTCTTACTACTAAGCCACAAGCTTCCTCTTCCTCCTTTACATGCAGTCGTTTTTTTATGTTTATCACTTCTGTTTGCAAAATGGTGGTATCAGCCCACTAAGATATTTTGTGCCCCTCTCTGTGGTTTATGGCCCACAATGTAAAAACCCTCCTAAAGACCACAGTGTAGTATAGGAAATTGGTCTCCTGACTCTTGCCGTGTGTCTTTTCAGGGAACATCCTTTGTTTGACACTTAAAAATTTCCCTGGCAAGAATACTACCTGGCTTTTGCTTTGAGGACTGTTTTGTTTGTCACTCCAGGTGGTGGAGCTCTGGGTACTTGTGTGAGCTTGTATGAGAGGAAGATATCAAGTCCGTTTCCGCAAATTTGTATGTTTCTAGTCCCTGGCTTCCCATCCTATCTACTACTTTGTCATTTGTATTAACTTCCAGTATTGCAGCTTCCTATTTGCCAGTCTTAAACTAGTAAGAGTTAACAAATTCTATAAATCAACTTAAATTTAGAATTACAAATAAGTCATTTAATCTAATATTCATTCTTAATTTTTTCTGTTATTTTATATTGTATAAGTAATATCTTAAAAATAGTAGTCAAAGGGAATAAACTAACCATAATCTTCCTCTTACAACCCACCCCTCTCCACCTCTGCCCAGCATTGGTGAATAGTCTTTCAGACTTCATTCTGTGCCATTGTTATTTTTCCATATATTTGTATATACAGCTATCATGCACTTTTATTACCAGAAGGCTCATTTGAAGCACGTCTCTTATCAGACTTCTCCTCGAAATTTTTCCCTTAAACTGTTTCAGGACACAGGACCTGAGGAGCTTGGCTGAGGTTCAAAAACACTGAATAGTTTGTTCTGATTGATCCACAGCTACCAAATGGCCCATCCCACAGGACATCTCAGGTGAAAGTTGTCGAGGTCAAACCAGATATGTTTCCTCCGTATAAATACAGCTGTACTGTCACACTGGTAAGTATGGCCAGGTAGTGGGTTAAAAGCAGTGGGTTTGAGGTTGAGGGTGCATTGGAGTGGGGAATAGTTGGAGTTGAGAGTAGATTGAGGCGTAGATCATTGATGTTAGAGATCCAGTATAGATATAAATGATAACTTGGTGAGTTGCCTCCTCCATCACAAGAGAGATTTATAAAATGTGGGCTAGTCGAGGCCAGAATATTGTTACTGAGTTTTTACAGTTGAGAATCCTATCCAGTTTTAACATCTATTAGTATTTGTTTTGCTAGTATTTCCCACTAGAGTTTATTTTTCCCTCTGCATTTATTTTTAACATACCATATAGTAACATTCCAGTAAATGTATATATAACTCTGTGATCACCCTATTTCAGAGTAAGCATTGTAGAACAGGAATAAACACTATACATTTGAAAGACCTAATCTAAAATTGCTTGTGACTCAGCTTCTAATATGCTGTATGACCATGGACAAGATTCCTTCCTTTCCAGTCTTTAGTTTTGTTGCTAAAGAATGGATTGGCAGAGTGCCTTAAACACAGCAGAGATTGGGAGAATGGTGTTTTGTTTTGTTTTGTTTTAGGTTGTTCTTAAGGTCACTGTGAGTTAAAGCTCACTCAGTGGCACCTAAAAATAATAATAAAAAGACAGATTAATTTAAAAATAAACAAAGAACATGAATAGCTATTTCTCCAGAGAAGATCTACAAATGGCCAATGTTATTGTTGTTATGTGCTGTTGAGTCACCTGTGACTCATAGAGACCTTTTATACAACGGCCCTAAACCTTGCTCTATCTTATGCCAATCTCACTGTCTCCAACACACCTACCCCAAACCCCAGTCACTGAATCAATCCATCTCATTGTGGGTCTTCCTCTCCTGCACTGTCCCTCCACCCTCCCAAGCTTGACCTCCCTCTCAAAGGACTGGTCCCTCCTTGCAGCATATCCAGAGTAGGTGAGATGAAGTTTCAGAATCCTTGTCTCCAGGGAGCAGCCTGGTTTCACCCTCTCCATGATGAACCTGTTTGCTCTCTTAACAATACAAGGTATATTCAATACTGTTCTCCAACACCATAGCTCAAAGGCATCATTTCTCTGTCTATCATCCCTAGTCATTATCCAGCTCTCTAATGCATAGCAAATAATTGCAAAGACCATGGCCTGTGTCAGGTGGACCTTAGTCTCCAGACTAATATTGTTGCTCTTCAGTACTTTGGAGAGGTCTCTTACATCAGACTTTCCAACTCAGTATGTCTTCTAATTTACTGGCTGCTGGTGCCAAGAGTGTTGATTATGGAGCCAAGCAAACTAAAGCTGTTAATAATCTCAGTCTCTTCACCATCTATCATGGTGCTCCCAGTTGCCCCAGAGGTGATAATCTTTGTTTTTTTGATATTGAGCTTTAATCCATATTGAAGGCTGTAGTCCTTGACCTTTTGCAGCAAGTACTTCCCGTCCTCCTCAGTTTTTTTGTTTGTTTGTTTTGTTTTTTTTTTTACTATTATTTTTGTGTGCGTGTACCGTCAAATCAGATCTAACTGGTACAGGAGGAGATTGTCCCTCCTTCCCCGGCAGAGCAACTGGTGGATTCGAACCGTTTGCCTCTGGGATTGTAGTTGCAGCTCCTTGCCACTAGGCCACCAGAGCTCCCCCCAAGTCCTCCTCAGTTTTAGGAAGCAGGGTTGTGTCATCTGCGTAACACAGACTGTTGATGAGTCTTCTTCTGATCCTGATGCCATATTTCTCTTCATGGAGCCCGGCCTCCCGGATAATCTGTTCTGCATATAGATTGAAAAGATAGGGAGATAGAACACACCCCTGGTATATACCCTTCCCAATTTTTAACCGTGCAGAGTTCCATTGTTCTGTTCCCTTGCTCTCTTCTGACTGACAGCTGTCTCGTGGTCCATGTATAGGTTTTTCATAATCACACTCAAATGTTCTGGGATTCTCATTCTTCTCAGTTAGCCACAGTTTGTTGTGGTCCGTGCTAACCAAAATATGTCCTTTAGTTATTCCCATCTGAATTTCAAAGCCATCTCAGGACCAAGTTTGAGACCTTGAACACTAATGAGCAAAGACCAAATGAACTGTGGGAGGCTATAAAGACTATTATCCTAGGGGAGCTCTGGTGGCTTAGTGGCACAAAACTACACTGAAATCCCAGAGGCGCACGGTTCAAATCCACAAGATGCTCTGCTGGAGGAGAGGGACAATCTCCTCCTGTATCAGCCAGCTCTGATATGACGGTACACTCACACACACACACACACACACTCTAAAATAATTTTCTTTTTAAAAATTTATTTCATTATTTTTTGTGTTTACCGTCAAATCAGATCTGACTGGTACAAGAGGAGATTGTTCCTCCTTCTCCAGCAGAGCGTTTGGTGGATTTGAACTGTGCATCTCTGAGATTGCAGTTGCAGCTTCTTGCCATTAGGCCACCAGAGCTCACCTAAAATGAATTTTTTAAAAATAATAATATCTAGGAAGACTGCAGAAGGCCATTACAAAAATAGGGGAGAAAGAAGAGACCAAAATGGATGACAGAAGAGACTCTGAATGTTGCACTAGAGTGCCGAGAAGCCAAAGCAAAGGGAAGAGATGAAGCTATTAAGGAGCTGAACTGAAGGTTTCAAAGGGCAGAGCAAGAAGACAAAGTAAAGTACTGTAATGTGTGAAGAGCTGGAGTCAGAAAATCAAAAGGGCCAAACTTGCTCGCATTTCTTTAAGCTCCAGAAACTGAAGAACATATTCAAGTCTCGAATTGCAATACTTAAGGATGCTTTGGGCAGAATATTAAATGATCTGGGAAGCATTAAAAAAAGATGGAAAGGGTATACAGAGTCATTGTACCAATTGGTGCACACAGAAGAATTTCATGAAATAGCATATGAGCAAGAGCCTGTGGTGATGAAGACGTTCAAGCTGCTCTGAAAGAATTGGCAAATGACCAATAAGCACATGCAAACATGCTCAGTCTAATTTGTCATTAGAGAAATATAAAGCAGGACCACATTAAGATACCTCTTCACACCCACTTGTTCAGAACTTGAAAACATTAAGTTAAATAAGTCAAACCCCAAAAGACAAAAGTTGCTAGGTACTGTCAAGTTGTGTCTCAGAGTGATCCTGTTTACATCAGAACAAAACATCGCCCTGTCCTCGTAATCATTGCTATGAGCTCCTTGTGTCAGTCCATCTCATTTAGATTCTTCCTCTTTTTCACTCTCTGCTTTACGAAACACAATGTCTTTTCTGAGGCCTGTTCTTTTTTCTTCTTGATGTTCTTACGTATGGTGTGCCTACAACCCATAGTGACCCTGTGTACAGCAGCTCTGAAGCCTGCCCTATCCTGAGTCTTTCTTACCAATTCTGACACACCAACCCCCATTGCCTCAATCATTATATCAGTCCATCTCATCTGGGGTCTTCTTCTCCGGAGCTGTCCGTCCACCCTTCTGAGCATGATGTCCTACTCCAAGGACTAGTCTCTCCTGGCCACATGCCCAGAGAACAGAGATGGAGCTTCAAAATCTTAGCCTTCAAGAAACCTGGTTTCAAAATCTCCAAGATTTTGTTTTCTTGGCAGTCCCTGTTATGTTTAAGACTCTTCTCTAGCACCACAACTCTAAGGCATTGATTCTTCTCTGTCATCCTTAGTGAAGACCATGGGCTGGATCAGGCTCAGCCTAGTCTCCAAACTTGCATCATTGCTCTTTAGTACTGTGGAGAGGTCCCTGACAGCAGACTTTGCCAATGCAGTTCATCTTTTGATAGCCTGGGAGCTGGTTCCAAGAGTGTTGATTGTGGAGCCAAGCAAGACGTAATTGTTAACCTCAATCTCTTCTCCATTTATCATGATGCTGCCAGTTGGCCCAGTGGTGAGAATCTTTGTTAACTTTTCCTCCTGATAAGATGGCTAAAGTACATAAGAAGAAGGCTTGCCAACCTGGATTCTACGGCATATTCTGGCTCTACTTCTTCCAAGATAGATTTGTTCATTCTTTGACAGTCCTTGATAGAGTGAATTCATAATCAACACTTTAATTCAAAGGCATCCTCATTTCTTCATTTGCTGTCCTTTTTCTTAGATAGCTTTGATTAAAAACAACAGTAGCAAAGAAATAACAAAAACTTGCAAGCATGTGGCTAAACTGAAACATTTTTCCTTTGGTGAGAATATAACATAATATCAGACTCTGGAAAATTTCTTGGTAGTTCTTACAAAAGTTATTCTACAGTTAACCATATGACTCTGCAATTTCCCTTCTAAGTATCCAAAGAATTAAATCAGGGACTCATACTGTATAACCAGCAGACTTGTTCACAATACTAAAAGGTGGAAACAATTTAGTTGACCTTCAACAAATGAATTTGCAAACTCTTACATTATTTTATTATTATTATTCAATCGTAAAGATTAAAGTATTAATACATGCTACACCACTGATAAACCACATAATATATGTGTGTCTAAGGAAGAGAAAACTGGATATAGAGGCACAGGGCCTTGAAAGTTTCTCTGAAGGGGCCAGAAGGCATAAGAATAGCCCAGCCCCTCATTGACCCAGAGTAGGAAGCAGATAAAGAGCCCATAACTCAGTCCCATGGTACCTGTAGAGTCCTACCAATAGCAAAAGGTGTGTTCGTTGCTGATTCACGGACTCACAGTTACGGTACAAACAATGGGGTTTATTACAGAAGGAAATTGGAGAGAGGGGGAGGCAAAGAATATCACCCAGTGAAAATCCAAGTTTTAACCAAGCAGTCCTGAGGCACAATTCCTCATTAAGACCAAGCTTCAGTTTTAGATCAGCAGTCAAATCCAAATCATTAGCAGGGTTTGCTTCAGAGCAGTAATAAGTCAGCCTCTCCTTCAAACATCTGGCAAGAACAGTCAAACTTTTAACTGTGGCCAGAGCAAAGGAAGCCTCAGGTCACACCTTGGCACGGTTTGTCCACACCAGTGCTACAATCTCTACACCCCCAGAGTCTCACTATTAACAGGGTCTTGCTGCCACAAGCCTTGTAGCTCAATGTGGGAAGCACTCTTTTATTTATCCCACTCCTACAGCTTGTGCTGATTTTCAAGACAATGTGTCTGCAGTTAAGATAGCTGGAGACCAGAGGCAGCTAACTAATTTGAAAAAGCCAACTTTTAGACTAACAGCATGAAAACATTAAGTGAAATAAGTCAAACACAACAGGACAAATACTGTATCATCCCACTGATATGAAATAGAGTAGGCAAATGTATTGAGGCAAAAAGAGATGAATGTTACCAACTACTGGAGGAGGAGAATGGAGCATTACTGATTTTAAAAAGAAGTTTCACTAGAATAAATACCTACAAAGAAAAATAACTGAATTAGAGGATGCTTCTGCTGTCATTATGCTCCTAAATTATTCCGTTAACTTATACCAGTATTTTAAGAGTTTGTATTATACCATATTCTCAATAACTCTAGAGTTGACATTCTTAAGAAAAATAAAACACTAACCTGATAAAAGGCAGATGAGTAAAAAAGGGTTATTAATTTAAAAAAATCTCCTTACACATGTACTTTGTGCTGAATATTCAGTAGTGGGCAATAAATCACAACATAGTGGGCTAACATCTAGGTCTGACTTGATCACCATGAGAGTGTCTCCTCTCCTAGAACTCCATCACATCTCCTTTCCTAATGACCTTGCTTTCTGCACTGTCACCCTTTATGTTTCTTGGCTACTGATGGTCACATTTCTTTTGTATCTTGTACTGGCTGCTACCTCTAGTGTAGTATCAGATGGAAGCGACCAGAGACAATCAGTCCCTTAAGTTGACCTGGATAGTTAAGTCACTGTTGAAGTATAAATTTACATGCTTTGTAATTACATTGTCCAGAAATCTAAATTTATCTTTATTCAGGGCTTGAAATTTTATCTCAGCGCATTAGCATTCCTTATTAAAACAGACTCAGTGCCTGGATGTTAAAGATATTTTAATTTCTAACCTTGAAAGTCAACTCACTTGTTAAAACTGAAAGAGATTACTACGGAAAAAGGATGCTCCATCAAGGCTCTTTGAGAGCTAAGTAGAATCTGATTTTGTAGCTGCTACTCAACAGATTTATTGATTCTCTGCTTTGCCCAGATGGACGTTACTTTTTAGAAAATCATGTTCTGTTTTTAATTTTTAGGACCTAGGCCTGGCTACATCAAGAGGCCGTGGAAAGTGCAAGAATCCTTCCTGTAGCTATGTCTACACCAACCGGCACAAACCACGGATTTGCCCTAGTTGTGGTTTTAACCTGGCCAAAGACCGGACTGAGAAAGCCACCAAGGCAGTTGTGAGTTCCCTCCCTAACACCTCTCCTGGCCTTGGGGTTGGACTCTGTTTTGTGGAAATGTCCTAAAGTAGGATCTCAAAGAAGTTAGGGCATCCAAAATAGAACCAAGTTCTTCTCTCTGAGCTTCCTTGTCCTCATTGCTAAGGGGAGTAGAAAGGCCAGGTGCCTCGATCTTTGGAGATATAGCCCAGCCGACCAAGAGGTTCTTCACCCAGGAGAAATGGCAGTGTGGGCCTTGGTGGAATTTGGAAGACAAAAAGGACTGTATCTTGCCTCTGAGATCTTGGAAGAACTGTAGTTGATTGATTCGTTAAATAGAGGATGCCATTTCCAATACTTTATAGATAAAGATTGGTCTTTCTGAATGTTCTTTACAGAGCTTTTTGACTAACCACAAAGCTTTAGATCTAGCAGTTTGATGAACCTGCTTTTTAAAGTTGGACAAAACTAGATTGTGAAACGCATTCTGCTTGGCTTCTTAGGGCTCTTTTAAAAATTATTAGTCAGCAGGTAGAAATGGGCATTTTCAAAGGTTCTCTGAATTTCAACTAAATGGTTTGTTGTTTTTCTAAAAAGAGAGAGAGTGTGTGTGTGTGTGTGTGTGTGTGTGTGTGAGAAAGAGAGAGAGAGACACGGAGCATGGGTCATTCTGGATCTAACAGGACCTTGACAGAATTGAGATGGAAGGGAAAAGCATGTCATACTCCAAATAAGCAAGCGATTGGGGAGTTGATGATGCTCCATTTGGCTGGAGCAGACTATAAAAGAGTAGGGAGCAATAAAGCGGACTTTGTGGGAGATAAGGCTTGAAAGGCTACATCATAGAAAATCTTGACTGACAGACTGGCAATTTGTTCTTCAGGTGATAGAATCTCACCAGGTATCTTTGAGCCAAGAAACAGCCCCAGAGCAATGTTACTTCCAGAGAGAGATATATGGGGGTTTGGAAAGAGACAAGATTAAAAAGATGGGAACAACTGTTGTAGAGTGAGGCTGGCATTGGGGTAGGGGGTAGGACTGAGAAAAACGGGATGAAATATGTTTACAGCATTGAAGTCTATGGGGGAGATAGTCTAAAAGTATATTTTAGGGCATTATTTTTATCGTAGGAGTACGCAATGAGGGTTGCAGAGTGGATTATATTTGGGGGTAGGGGGTGGGGTTTGGGGAGGTGCGGGGGGATTGTGTACCAATGAGGGAGTTTTGATTTTCAAGGAGAGGAGCAAACTGGGGGGGGGGCGTTGTGCGAGGAGAAGGGTGCAACAATGAATGAGTGGAATTCCAAAATCTCTGTAGATGTTCATTGAAATGAAAAATAAACAAACTAAATTAATAATAAATTTTTTTTTTTTTTAAATGGGGACAACGTCTTCAAACATAAAGATTTCTATGCACATGAACAAGAGCCTTGTAGGCAGGTGAATTTCACTCCTTATCTCTAGGTCTGTCTCTTCTGTGCTTGAGTTCTTGCTTAGAGGTTGTGGTTGTTGGGAAAAGTATGTGAACACAAATGGCTTAGTGAAAAAGAGAACATTGAGACTAAGAAATGGAAGACTTTGCTAGCAGAACCTGAGTGGAGATTTTTCCTTTTCCTGAGCTTTAAGTTTCCCAGTTAGTAAAACAAGATGGGCGTGATTCATTATTATACCTGAACGTTTTACCCTCAGAATCATGTGTTCTCAAGAACACCCAAACCTGGACTTCAAGAGTACAAATCCCTTGAAATTGTATGCAAAAATGTGTAAACATCTTCTGTCAGTCTCTTTGTTCTCTAAGTGATCCACTTGCTGAAATTGAGTTTTCTCTCCTAGGTTCTCCATGTGCTTAATGTGCTCCTCTTTCCACAGTATTGATCATCTCCACTTTTGACTGCCTACCTCAGTTCTCTTATGAGATCATACTCTTTGGCGAGGAGAGCTGTTAAAACCCCTGAGCTTGCATACACAGTCTGTTAATACGTTGCCGCAAATGACTGCAGAAAATGTGTTTCTAAGCACCATTGTCAATTTAAAAATGTGTGGCAACATGTCAGTAGTTGAGATGTAGGTAGATGCCCTGAGCGTGCTTTCTTTCTTGCATTTCACTTTGTCTCATTTCGTGTGGTTTGCAGTATGGACATGGTTGTTGGTTCAACATCTGGGAATAGTGAAGTGATTTACCTTTATATACTGGCAGGAATTGTCTAGGGGCCCTCTTTCCAATTGCTATCAAATTCTATTACTATTTATATGCCTTTCTCTTTGGCTGCCAGGTAACTGCCCATCCCTGGGACACTCAGCTTCAGACCTTCTGTCATTTTCAGACAAACCTTCACCTTTTAAAATGTTAAACTTTAGAGATAGCAAATAAGACATTTTCCAAGAAATAGTGCTTATTGGTCTTTGGAGCCCCCTGGTGGCCACGCATTTCCTATGTAGTTTGTCTTTAGCTCCTGTTAGACCTCAGTATCTGTGGACTGGGATGGTCTTTTTACCCTTTATCTTTAGTTGAGAGTCAAAAGACAGTATTCTTCCCAAGTAGTGTTCCAGTCCATGATCAACATAGCTACACACACAGTCTCCTAAGGAATTTAGTCTAGTGATTCAACCATTCATTCATTTCTTTCAAGTAGCATATACTTGTGGTCCAGGCCTTTAAAATGATGATAACAGATAGGACATGGCCCTTTCCTTTGAGAAGTCTAGTGGGAGAGAAGAATAAATTTCCATGCTGTTACAATGAGACATAATTCTCAGAAGTATGCAGAATTGACTGAATGGCCTTGTTAAAATTTACTTATGCAGAGGGGTGTATAATATGTTCAGTAAATATGAACTGGCAACTTCTGTAAACCAGGCAAGAATCAATAAATAAGTAAAGCTATTTACCAACTGAATTTTCAGTAAAGGAGTGCCTGCTGGGAGCCTGAAGGAGGGTATAATTGACTCAGCATTGATGAAAAAGATCCTGAAAGAGCCTTCTTTATAAGAGTCCTTCCTGAGAGGGACCTGTTTTGTTTTTTCATTTTTATTTTACTTTATTTTATGTTGATTTGCTCACAAAGTTCATATACATTGTTTCACACTATTTTCATATTGTGTTTAATTATAATGCATTATGTTCTATAAATTCAATCACCATTGGACCTTGCCCATCATTACCCAGTCTTTTCAGGTCCCCACTGGATCCTTCCCATTTCTTTCAACCCCTCCCTTCACCCACCAGACTGTGCAACCATGTGGTTTTGCGACTACCCATTCTCACCACTCAGCTCCCACCCATTCCCTCCCCAGGTCACCATAAATGTTTTATTACTTATCCTTCTATTTTTACAATAATCGTCTTAATGCAGTATTTGTCCTATGAGACTTTGTTAGTTCATTCAACAAATTACAATTATTATAATATCATTATGTTGTTGTTGTTGTTGTTGTTATGTGCAGTTGAGTCGCTTGCAACTCATAGCGGCCCTATGTACAACAGCCCTAAACTCTTCTCTGTCCTGTGCCAATCGCACTGTCTCTGACATTCCCATCCCAATTACCCCAGTCACTGAATCAATCCACCTCATAGAGGGCCTTCCCCTCCTGTGCTGTCCCTATACCCTCCCAAGCATGATGTCCTTCTCCAAGGATTGGTCTCTGCTTACTACATGTCCAAACTATATTAGACGAAGCCTCAGAATCCTTGCCTCCAAGGAGCCACCCGGTTTAACCCTCTCCAGGATAAATCTGTTTGTTTTCCTAGCAGTCCGTGGTATTCTCAGTACTCTTCTCCAGCACCGCAGCTCAAAGGCGTCAATTCTCCTTCTATCCTCCTTGGTCATTGTCCAACTCTCTGATGCATAACAAGTGATTGCAAAGACCATGCCCTGTATCAGACACAACTTAGTCTCCAGAGAGACCCCTTTGTTCTTCAGTACTTTGGAGAGGTCCCTAACAGCAGACTTTCCCATGGCAATACGTCTTTTAATTTCCTGGCTCCTGGTGCCAAAAGTGTTGACTGTGGAGCCAAGCAAACTAAAGCTGTGAACAGTCTCAATCTCTTCACCATCCATCCTGATGCTGCCAATTGGTCCAGTGGTGAGAATCTTTGTCTTCTTGACATTGAGCCTCAATCCATATTGTAGGCTGCAGTCCTTGACCCTCTGCAGCAAGCGCTTCAGGTCCTCTTCAGTTTCAGCAAGCAGGTCTGTGTCATCTGCATAATGCAGATTGTTGATAGATCGTCCACCAATCTTGATCCCACATTTCTCTTCATAGAGCCCAGCTTCCCGGATAATCTGTTCTGCATACAGGTTGAAAAGGTATGGAGATAGGATACATCCCTGGCTTATGCCCTTCCCAATTTTGAACCATGCAGTGTTTCCTTTCTTTGTTCTGATGACTGCCTCTTGATCCAAGTATAGGTTTCACATTAGCACGATCAAGTATTCTATGATTCCCATTCTTCTCAGAGTCAGCCACAGTTTGTTATGATCCACACAGCCAAACGCCTTTGCATAGTCACCGAAACACAGATAAACATTCCTCTGGTATTCCCTGCTTTCAGCTAAGATCCATCTAACATCAGCTACAATATCCCTAGTAATATGACCCCTTCTAAACCCACCCTTGACTTCTGGCAGTTCTCTGCTGATGTGCTGTCCCAGTCGTTTTTGGATAGTCTTCAGTAGAATCTGGCTTGCATGTTAAATCAATGATATTGTTCTATAATTTTCACACTCTATTGGATCACCTTGGAATGGGAACAAATACAGATCTCTTCCAGTCAGTTGGCCAGGTGGTTGTTCTCCAGATTTCTTGGCACAACTTGGTGAGCATGTCCAGGGCAGCATCTTTTAGCTGAAATATGTCAATTGGTATACCATCTATTCCTGGGGCCTTATTTTTTGCTATTTCCTTCAAAGCAGCCTGAACTACTTCTTTGATCACCATAGGCTCTTGCTCATATATTGTTTCATGAAATTCATCTGTGTCTGCCAATTTGTTTCGCTACAGTGACTCAGTATATTCTTTCCATCTTCTTTTAATACTTGCTGGATCATACATATAATTAATAATGGTTCACTCAGCTCTTCATTCTCTCCAAAGTTACATGGTACTTTTTAAAATCATTGCTCCTGAGTTCTGAGTAGTATTTCATTGAATGAATGTACCACAATTTCTTAATCCATTCAATTGTGGTTGGACATTAGGGCTGTTTCCATGATCTTGCAATGGTGAGTAATGCTGCTATTTATTAGTGTATAGATCTCCATTTGTGTCTCAGTTCTAATTTCCTTGAGGTATTTTCCTAGTAATTGAATAGCTAAGTCATATGGAGTTTCTATGTTCCACTTTTTGAAGAAACGACAAAACTGTCCTCCAGAATGATTGTACCATTTTACAGATCCACCAACAGTGTATGAGTTTCCACGTCTCCACATCTGCTCCAACTTGTACTGCTTGCTGCCCTGCTAAACTTTGCCACTGCTCCTGGAGTGAGATTTTATTTCATTGTGGTTTTGATTTGCATCTCTTATTGCCAGTGATATGGAGCATTTCTTCATGTGTCTGTTGGCCATCTGAATATCTTTCTCTGTGAAAAGTCTTTCCATATTTTTTGCCCATTTTGTAATTGTATTATCAGTTTTTCTTGTGGAAGCCCCATAGGATTCTGCAACCTTACTGCTTTTCCTTTATAGGTGGCCCTTTGTTTTTCTTGTACTGCTTTCAGTATTCTGTCCTTTTATTTTGGAGAATTTGGCTGTAATATTTCTTGATGTTTTTCTTTTTGGGTCAAGTCTATTTGGCATTCTCTGAGCATTTTCGATGTGGATTTCATCGTTCTTAATAATACCTGGGAAATTTTCTTCTAGTGCCTCCTCTTTTTTTAGTGATTTAGTGATTGCCCTGTCCCACTCTTATTCTGAAATTCAGTCATCCATATTTTGTTTCTTTTGATGTCTTCCAACATGATTCTAATGTTTTCTTTATTTTTATCTCTCATCCCTGATTTTTTTAAGGATGTTTCCATTGAGATTTTATTCTTTATTATTATTATTATTATTAATGAAAGTTTACAGAAACTTGGGGTTTCCAGTCATTCATTGTTGTACTTTCTCCCTGTCCTCCCCCTCCCCCCAAATCGCTCTTCTCCTTGAAAAAGAAAAACTCTTTCATTGTTATGCAATCCCTCCCCCCAAGTTCACTCCACTCTGCAGTCTTCACTCTGGACTTCTATAAGACAAGAATACCCATTCATATATCCCTTTAAACAGATCTCTCCCTCATATGTTTCAATGTTCCATTGAGATTCTTGTCTTCTAGCTCATTGACTGTCTTCTCCCTCTCCTCTGTTCTACTTTATATTTAAATAAATTTTTTTTTCCACTGGTATACTGACGAAGTTCATATACGTTATTTTTCACACTATCTTTTCCATTACCTGAATGTATCCCTCCGTTCACGCATCAGATTGTTTAACACTGTAATTACACCACCACTGCCACCACACACACACACACACACACACACACAGCCACACATCCTTACCCCTCTGCTCCCACCCTTTCCCCCTTGGATCCTCATACACATTCTACAATCATTATCTTACATAGTATTTATCCTTATGGAACGGAATTGGTTCACTTAACACAATGTTTTCTGGTCCCTCCCTATTTAGATAGTGATTTACAATATCATTGTTCCTGTGTGCTGCATAGTCTGTCGTGTACCATAATTTCTCAATCCATTAGATTGTGGTTGGATATTTGGGCTGTTTCTGTGCTCTTGCAATGGTCAATAACGCTGCTGTGAACATTGGTGTACAAGTTCCGTTTGTGCCTCAGTTCTCATTTTCTCAAGTTATATTCCAGGTATTATTAAAAACTGCTCCACTTTTTTGTTCCTACAGCATGTTGGACACTTCTGCCATTTCAATGTTAATATTCTGCATAGCATTTTCATGTATTTCTTTTATTTCCAATACTGTGTTGGCTATACCCTCTCTATCTTGTGATGGTTTTTTACATTCATGTGCTTCTTTATAGTTTCAGTTGTTTCTTCCATCTTTCCGTTTTCATCCATAGTTGTTCAAGTTTCTCCTTGTCCATATATTTCTTCCGGCTCCATGTCTCTGGAGTGTTTGCTTTCTTAGTGTTTTCCATTGTTTCTTCCATCATTTGCACCTTCTTTTGTAGCTGTTGAAATAACTTGATCAGTCTTTTTCTTCTGGTTCTCTGCCTCTAGGATATTCCCTTTATTTGTGGCTCCTGCTGTTTCTTATCATTTGTACTTTATTTTGTAGCTGTTCCAATGTTTCCACATCAACATGTATTATCTGTCTTCTTAACTGTGGGGTATTCATTGGGTCTGCAATATTCTTTGCTTTTTTTTTTTGGAGACTTGATTTGTTTTTTTTACAGTGTTTGAAGCTGCTTGCTGCTTTCGTGACATTATGAAATTTTATGACATTCGTGAAATTTTTATTAATAAATGTTAGGCCATTTCTGTTGTGTCTGCATACGTTGTTGGTAATTCTTGTCTTTATGATGTTATTAGTTGCCAGGTTAAAATGTTCAATCTATGGTGTGAGCCACTCATTCTTTCTGAAAGTCCTTTCTGGGAAAATTTGGCTTTCCTTAGGTCCTTCAAGTTATCTCTGTTCTACACAGCAGCCCTCCAGGAATCTTGCCTTAATGTAATCCCCTGTCCCAAACTATATTGTCTTCCTTCTTCTATACAGTGGCTCTTTGAGACCAGGTACTCCACTCCAGCAGTTTCTTGACTAGAGGGGTTTCAAGTCAGCTCTCTCTCTCTTTTTTCTTCTTCAGCTCAATGTGTCAGTTGAGAAAGTCTTTCCTCTGCTTGTTGTTTTGTGTCCCAAACTCTCTTGTCTTTGCTCCCCAGGATGGTTCACAGACAAGGATCCCCAAATGAAGGGACCTTCCCCCAGAGATATTTCAGTCCAGTCTCCCACAAGCACCCCAAAGGGCTCACTCTGGGCAGTAGTGTGTCACCTCCTGTGTTTTCTCTCCTGAAGCTTAATCTCTACCTTTGTCTCTGGAGTGGCACAAAATCAGGGCCTTCAACTTACACACTTTGCATGCAGAGGGGTCTCAAATCAGCCATCCTTCTAGCCAAAAGCTGAGAAAGTCTTTTCCTTGCTTATGGCTCTTTGTCCCAATGGAAAAGTGTTTGATGCACACAGAGACTTAAATTTTAGAAGGTCCCATTCATCGATATCTCCCTCTCCTGGTAGTGCATTTCTGGCTATATTTACCAGCCTGTTTATACCTTAGGGTTCTTGTTGTTGTTATATGCCGTCGAGTTGCATGTGACTCATAGCGACCCTATGTCCAACAACCCTAAACCCTGCTCTGTCCTGTTCCAGTTGCACTGTTTCTGACACACCCACCCCGATTACCCCAGTCACTGAATCAGTTCACCTCATAGAAGGTCTTCCCCTCCTACGCTGTCCCTCCACCCTCCCAAGCATGATGTCCCTCTCCAAGGACCTTAGGGTAGACCTTCAGTAATATACTACAGATTGTAAAAGAACCCAGGTGCACTGCATCATCTGAAGGGTCTGTTTTTTTAATCATCATTTTCTTGTTGTTTTGTGTTATTGAGTTGGAACTGACTTATAGCTGACCCTCCAGCAGATTTTCAGAGGTTGTTAATCTCATAGGAAGAGATTGAGTGGATTAAAACCTTCTGCCTTGGGTTGACCCTGCAACTCTTTACCACTAAGCCACCAGAGCTTTCTAATCAACATCTTAAAATCTTGTTTATGGAGACTTCTGACTAGTATATAAAGTAACCTTGTACCTAGAAACTGTAAAGAATTAAAAGACACATACTTGGGTGTTTGTTGGGACTGGGGCTGGTAGTCCAAATTATTTATTTATGCAGTCATTTCTCATTTTACTGTGTCATACGTTGTCGATAACTGTATTTTTTTATAAATTGAAGGGTTGTAACAAACTTATCACAAACATGTCTGTAAGCACCAGTTTTTGAATAGCATGTGCTCGGTTTGTCTCTGTGCTTCTGTATGCATTGAGAAACCAGAAAATTTCCATGACTTGTCTGACTGCAGTATTCATTTTGTTGGAGTTATTTGGAACTAAGCCTGTAATGTGTTCCAGGAATACCTCTTTATCCATATTACCATTCACAGAGAAAGCGTTATATTCCAGCCATTGTACTCAATGCATAATTTCTATTACTTGATTTAACCATACAACACTAGGAGAAGGTTGTATTTTCATTCTTTAATAAATGAGTAAATTGAGGCCCGGCCCAGACAGTTAGGTAAACTGAATCCGAGAGAGAGAAAGCACCTGCATTACGCCAAACAGTGTTAGCTGAGCTAGTCAGGAACCTTTGTTTCTCTCAGTCATGGGTCATTGACCCTGCTCATTTGTTACTTGCAGCTTCGTTGTTTTGGCCTGATACTAACCTTTTCTGCCCTGAATGCCTAGTCAGCCATCTGTTTTCTTCCTAGGAGGTGAGCTCACCACTCCCAGAAGTGCTGAGTTCCACAGAGCCCCTGACTGCAACCCAAAAGGAGATCCAACGCCAGTCCACTCTGCAGCTGCTACGTAAGGTCCTGCAGATTCCCGAGAATGAGTCTGAGCTGACTGAGGTCTTTGCCTTGATTCATGAACTCAACAGCTCTCGACTCATCCTGTCCAACGTGAGTGAGGAGACAGTCACCATCGAGCAGACCTCTTGGTCAAATTACTACGAGTCTCCATCCACACAGTGCCTTCTCTGCAGCAGTTCATTATTCAAAGGGGGACAAAAGTAAGCACAACTTTCAGATTTATTCTAAGCTTAGGTTCTCCATCCCACCAATCCCGTGTACCCCCTTCTTGGGAAACCTTAAAGCTATTATAGTCTTCAAAGATGTTATTCTCTGATTTTCTTAAGTTTCCTTTACTGTTCCAACTGTTAAGGTATTAATGATAGGAATTATTGTTGAAAATGCCCGAAAGTGTTTTATCACCAGTTTAAGATTTCATTTACACTAGACTGTCCAGCATAGTATTTGGGTTTTAGAGTTAGATGGGATTGGTTAATTTATTAATATCTTAAGGATTCACTTATTTTATTTTCTTTTATTTTATTATTTTTTGTGTATGCATGTGTGTACCGTCAAATCGGATCTGACTGGTACAGGAGGAGATGGCCCCTCCTCCAGCAAAGCATCTGGTGGATTCGAACTACATACCTCTGGGATGTATTGCAGCTTCTTGCCAGTAGGCCACCAGAGCTCCCTGAGGATTCACTTTTAACATGTTCCACAGATCACATTCAAACTTAGTGACAGTGCCCACTTAGAAAAGCTTGAAACCTAAGTTTAGGTTCATCACATTCACTGTATTAAAATAGCTTGATAATTTTGCCATTAGTTATTGAACCCTGGAATGACATACAGGATGTCCCCTTTGTTCACTCCTAATGTTGTGGTGATGTTTTGGTACTAGCTCCCTGGCCGGACCCCAGGAGTGCTGGCTATTGACAGCTACCCGGCTGCAGGTGGTGACTGCCCAGGTGAAGATGTGTTTGAACCCGCATTGTCTGGCCCTACACAGTTTCATGGACATCTACACAGGTGGGTGCTGGCCTTCTCTTCCTGCAGTAGGCACCAAAGCAGCCTTGAGGACAGACTCCCCATGTCAGACTTCTGCCCTTTGGGCAGTAGGGAGTAAGAGATTGTCCCCTAAATGCCTCCATCCCAACAGTTTACATTTACCTATCTAGTGTTAACCCACTGCCATCAAGCAGATTGCAACTCGTGAGAGCTGTCCATTGGGTATCTAAAGCTATAAATCACGTAAGGAGGTGGTTACTCATCTTTTTCCCTTGAAGCAGCGAGTGGGTTCAAACCACCTAGTAAATCGGTTTGCCATGTTGAACACTGTGCCTCCAGAACTCTGGTGTTAAGACTCTGTTGTCTTGTTGTTAGGTGCTGCCTTGTTTGTTCCAACTCAGAGCCACCCTGTGTATAACAGAAAGAAACCCTGAACATTCTTGCACTGTCCTCACAATTCCTGATGTACTAAAGTCCATTGTTGGAATCACTTTGTCAATCCATCACATTGAGAATCTTCCGCTCCTCTGCTGACCCTTTACTTTTCCCAGCTTCACATATTTTTTTCTGAGAATTGGCCACTTCTATGACAATATGCCCAAAATAGGTGAGCCTGTGTAACCATCGTTGTTTCTAAGGAGCATCTGAGCTGTACATCTTATAAGACAGATTTTTTCAGGGGGTTTTTGGTAGTCCTTTAGCACTTTAAAGAGATCCTTGTCAGCCAGTTTACCCAGTCCAGTATTTTTTTTCCTTTTTATTGTTGTTGTTTGTTGTTGGTATTGTGTACTGTTGAACTGAATCTGACTGGCACAGGAGGAGATTGCCACTCTTTCTCCAGCACAGCATCTGGTGGATTCGAACCACGTGCCTTTGGGATTGCTACATAGCTCCTAGCTGCTAGGCCACCAAAGCTTCTTTTCAGTTTTTCTTGACTGCTTCACAACTGTTGCCATGGGTACTGATCATAAATCCAAGTAAAATGAAATCATTGACAGCTTCATTCTTTGCTCCATTTGTCATGATGTTGTATACTGGTTCAATTGTGAGAATTTTTCTTTTTAAACTATATGAAAGGCTGTGTGTTTTGTTGAAAAGAGCTGTCAAGGACCTGAAGTGCTAAAGAGCAAGGATAATCAGTTTAAAGACTAAAGTGTTTCTGGTTCAAGTCAGGGTATTTTCAGTTGCTTCCTGTGAATCTGAAAGTGAATAAGTATGTCTGAAGAAGAATCAGTGCTTTTAAGTTGCGTTGGTGAAGAACACTGAATATCCCATGGCTTTCCAAAAGAACAAACAAGTATGTCTTGGAGAAAGTGCAGTCAACGTCTTCTTAGAGGCAAAGATGTTGAAACTTGGTCTCCCATACTTTGGGTATATTGTCAGGAGGAAAGACATCATGCTGGGAAGAGTAAAGATTTGGAAAAAGTAGAGGTTCTGCAAAAAAGAGAAAGACTCTCAACAAGATGGATTGACACATGACTAAAATTGGGCTCAGGCATGTCAGAGATGGTGAGGATGGGACAGGATTGTATGTGGTTCTGATCTGTTGTTCACAGGGTCTCTGAGTCCTAGTCAACTTGATGACACCTAACAGCAAATACTAGACTCAGATCTTCAGTGAGAGCATCAGGTCCTCTTCATTTTCAGCAAGCCAAGTGATATCATCTGCATATAGCAGATAGTACCTCAGTCCTCATGCCACATTCTTCTTTGTATAACCTAGTTTCTGAGATTATTTGCCTAGCATACAGATTGAATTAGTAATTCAGATTAAAGAATATATCCCTGGTGCATATCTTAACTAAAGTATCCTCTTTTTCTTTTGAATCACTGCTTCATTCATCTATATTTTATTGATTCTTGGAACCTCTTTAAGATTCTTAGAATTAATGTGTTTTTAGTATAGCTTCAATTTCTTCATCATATGCTGCTTTCAGACATGATGATCATCGATTCTCGGCCTTTTGGCTAAGATCAGGTGTAGAAATGATGATCAATTCGTTTTGATACTCACCCTTGTTGAGTCAAAACTGACACATAGTTGACCCTCCAGAAGGTTTCAGAGGCTGTAAATCACACAGGAGGAGATTGCCTCTCTTTCTCCCTCAAAACAGATTTGAACTGCCTGCCTTTGGGTTGTTACTAGGTCTCTTGCTGTCTCTTTTTGATACATTGTGTTTTCTTTCCATTTTTTGCCCATAAAATTCTTCACTAGATGCTTGAATTTGTTCTTCAGTCTTTTCAGTTTGAGAAATGCCAAGGATGTTCTTCTCTTTTTGTTTCCTAATTCCAGATCTTTGCACATTTCATTATGATTCTTAGGCTTTTAGAGCTGCCCTTTGAAATCTAATTTAACTTTTCCTACTTCATCAATTCTTCCTTTCTCTATGTTGAAGAGCAAGGTCTCTTCTGACATCCCTTTTGGTCTTTTCTGTCTTTTTTAGTTACCTTTTGCTTTCTAGTCCATAGTGAGTTGCAGTCTAACCCAAAAGTAGATCTTCCCTGGTGGTTGGAATCTACCAGCACCTGCTGAGGAAAACGATGGTTACTCTCCTCCTTTGCGATATGTTGCCTCTGAACACCTGCTGTAGGGTCAGCTATGATTCAGTTCCGAAATTTGTGGCAGTGAGAGAGGGAGGGAGTTTACTTTCCTCATGGATGATGTCTTTGATCTCATCCCACAGATTGTCTAGTCTCCCATCATTGCATCGTAAATATATGTATATTCTTTAGGGAGCACTGATGTCTTAGTGGTAAGGAGTTGCATTGCCAACCCATAGGAACACAGTTCAAATCCATGAGCTGCTGCATGGGAGAAAGATGCACAGTCTCCTCCTGTGTGATTTACTGCCTCTAAAAACTCACTAGAGTGGGTGGGAAAGGGGGTCAGCCATGGGTCCATTGTGCCTCAACAATATATAACAACATATATATTCTTGAGATGGTTTTTTAATTTAGGTGGGATAAACTCGGGGGATTGTATTTTGACTCTCCTGGACTTCTCTTCATTTTCTTCAGCTTCATTTTGAGCTTTATAGAAGCAGGTGACAATCTTTCCTGCTGTCAGCCTCTCCACCTTGTTCCCCACTGTCCCTTTTCACTGTTATAGTCAATTTGATTCCTGTATATTCTCTCAGTCAAGGTTCTTTCATGTGTATCTTCAGCATTTATGTTTGGTTATATTTTTTTTTTAAATCTGTCTTTTCAGTGGATAATTTGTTAATATTATAAAGCTATCTTTTGATCTCCAGCCTTCTGTCTTTTTTTCTAACTTTTAGATTCCAGTCACCAGTTAGTAAATCATCTTGGTTGCATTTTTTAGCAATTGCAGACTGCAGAAATTGGTAGCTGTCTTCATTTCATAAATGAAAAATTAACTTTAAAATAACAGGTTTTCATAAGTGGAAAATCTAGAAATTTCAGACACATAGGAAGAAATTAAAAGTCATAGTGCTCTTACTGGCAGAACATAAACCCTTGACATTTTGTTATCTAGTCCTTCAGATGAATTTACTTCATGCATATAATTGATACAGAATACAAGAAATTTTAAAGCTTCAATATCTATAGGGAGCTCTGATGGCCTAGTGGCAAGAAACTGCACTGCAGTCCTGAAGTCATACCATTCAAGGCCACCAGCTGCTTCATGGGAGAAAGATGGGCAGTCTCCTCCAACGTGATTAACTGCCTTTGAAAATATACTGGAGGGACAGCTATGGGTTGGTTCCAACTCTGTGGTACAACACAACGACAACAAATGTTTATAATTTTTTTTTAACTAAAGTAGAGCTGTCCCTTTGTATCCATGGATTGAAAATATTAAAGAAGGGGGAAGGCAATAAGTGGTTAAAACAGCCCTTCTAGAGCTAAGAAGGCTTGTAAGTGCTAGGTCATAGCATTTACATTATATTAGGCATTACAATATAGAGATGATTTAAAGTGTAACGGTAAGTTATATGAAAATACACAATTTTATGTAAGGGACTTAAGCATCTCCAGGTTTTGGCAACCGCTGCGTGCCTCCCAGTCAAGGTGTTGGTGCTTTATGCCATCGAGTTAGAACCAACCCTCCAGCAGGTTTTCAGAGGCAGTAAATTGCATGGGAGGAGATTGCCTGTCCTTTTCCCATGAAGCAGCTGGTAGATTCAAACAGCGTGCCTTTGGGATTACAGCACTGGTTCTTACTACTAGACCATGAGAGCTCCCTGACAGGGTACGGGTCCAAAAATCAGTCCCCTAAAGATATCAAACGACACCTTTACATTTGTGCTGAATGTTATTTTAGAGCCTGCCTTTTAGAATTAACAATTTATCACAGATATCTTCATGCTGTAACAAGTGGAGAATCGTAATGTCATTCTTAAGTTGTACATGTATTTCAATCTTTAAGTAAATTCTTAATTATTTCCTTTCATCAAAAGTGGAAAGAACCGTGAGGGCACACTGTTTATAGTGCCCAACTGTTCCAGCCTATCAACCACTCTCTGCAGGGGAAAGATAAATGGCAGTCCACTCAATAATGAAATTACTCTATAGATTCTCCCCAACCCACCCTGTGCATCACTCCTCAGGATCACTCCTCAGGCATTCATTGAACACTTACCATGTACCAGCCAGTGTAAGGGTTTGATTGAATCTCGAGCTTTAAATGTGGAATTCTAAAGATCAAAGAGTTTTGTTTATTCTCTTCTTCCTCAGAACATTTTGGTGCTTTATTTTAAATAATAAACATGCTTTTAATAAGTATATATTGTTTCAAAGGTATAATGTGCTTTTAACAAATCTGTATTGCCAATTTGAGGTTATATTTATGTTCTTACCAGCATTAAGTGCTCATTTTCCTTTAGTGTAGGCCAGACAGACTTTATCATTATCATTTGTGGGTTGTTTTTTCTATTTTAAGTTTGTTTTCCAAATTTACCTGTGTTAAAATTGACTTTTTATTTTTGTCCCACAGTTGAGTTAGTTCTGTGACTGTATAGTGTTAGATAAATGCCAGAACATTGAACAGAATATTTAGAACAGTTCCATCATCGCTAGTCTTTGGCTTTGTACCCAGTCCCTGTGCCCTGACTACCGTTGGGCTAATTCTCCATTGTCCCTGCTTTTCTCTTTTTCAGAATACTATCTAATACTTCATGTAGTATGTCAAACCACTTTTAAACAATGATAACCATTTCTAAAATTTTGTCAGATTTGTGGGCTTTTTTTCTTTTGTATGTATGTAATAAGGGCATTGATCTCCCTGGTGGTTTCAACCTGTGGTATCGATCTTTGACAGGCATTCTGCACTATTGTTCCATACCTTATATTCCACAATTTAATACTGTGTTACGAGAGCATCTGGTTTATCTGATTTAAATTTAAATTCCTCTTGATTCATTTATTCCAGGATTTGGTATAGAGATGATCTTCTAGTCTGTAGTATTTGCCCTGCACCACCTGGAGCTAAAGGGTGATTTTCTCCAGAGTATCATCATTTAAAGTAGGGCAAGTGTCTATTTAAAAAGAAAAGTTTCTGCTATCTATGTTATTCCATTATTTGCTCTTGCGTTTAACAGTGTGATGGGCAACTTCCTAGATGAGCATTTGTTGTCAGTTGCCATCCAGTTGACTCTGACCCAGAGCTTCCCTCGGAATAACACAGTGAAATCTTGCCCTGTTCTGTGCCATCCTCACAATCTCTGTTTAGGTCTACCTTTTTTTTTTTTTTTTTAATGATGCCCTCATTTAATTCACTTTCTCATAAATGAGCATTGAGTTTGTTCTTCATTTTTTATCATAGCAGATGATGATTGTTACAGTGAATGTCTTTGCTCCTTCTTTTTCACTTTGCAGGTCTCTTTAATGTGGGGAACAAGCTGCTAGTGAGCCTGGACTTGCTTTTTGCAATCCGAAATCAGATCAAGCTGGGAGAGGACCCCCGAGTGTCCATCAGTGCTGTTCTGAAGTCAGTGCAAGAGCAGACAGGTAAAGCCAGGCTGCAGCTCCCTGGGGATTCTCAGTGACAAGTTTTGGTTAAAAGATTTTTAGGTTGTGTCTGACATTTTGAAAAGGAAACATTTTTGACATAAAACTATCTTCTTTCTGAGTTTTACAAATGCAAAACTAATTCTGAAAAGCAAGATTCCTACTGGTTATCATGGACCCACATTCCTCAAATTCATCACCTCCTTCTTCCTAACATTATCCCTGTCAAGGTTGTGATTTGACACATAGGAGTTCAGTGAGTCTTTCTGCCAGTACTACCATCTCCCCTGGACTATTGAAGAAAGACTCTCCATTTCTACCACAAGGAAGTTGATTATATGGGTATATAGGGATTGCTCATGCGTACACCCCATTTCCTTCCAACATGCCCAGCAATTTACACTACTCTGTTCTGTCTCTCAAACTCTTGTTCTACCCCATGTCTTTTATTTTGGCTGTTAGCATTTAGTGGTTGCTCTATGTCATCCATTACTTTGCAGTAGAGAAGACTGATATTGGTTTTTAACTCAGCATTGCACTTAATAGGATTGGCAAAGAATTACCAGGCAGCTACTGGCTCTGGAAAGACAGTAGTCCATAGAGGACGTCCAACACTTTGATTGCAAAGTACTGCTTCTATTGTGAACCTCTGACCTTCCCTACAAAAAATGTACTTGAAGCAAAGCAGTCACACCATATTAATGGCCATGATAGAATTACTTGTTAAAGAAATTTCTAGCCTTTCCTTTCTCCCTAACTGTATCAGGAAGGATTGTTATCTCTAGCTTAGTTTCCACATGAAGGTTCTGTTGAAGAAGGCACAAGAAATCTGTTATGTAATTAATATAGGAAAGAAATCATGTTAATCTAGTTTTCTTTGAGAACTTCTTGTCCATATGATTTTTTTAAAGTTAAATTTAGATTCACAGAAACATTTTTTCAAGAAATGCATAATAAAGTGGACTTGGGAGGGGATTGTATCACAATGAAAGAATTTTTTTTTCTTTTCAAAGAGAAAAATGAACTGGGAAAGGGGTGAGCAGGGAGGAAAATACGCAACAATGAATGAATGGAGAAAAAAATTAAATGGAAAAACCATACTGTAAAAAAATATATATGTTACATTTAAAAATTATTAATAAAAAAAGGTTAGAAAAACCATTTTTTTTTCCCTCTGAAATTACTTTGGGTTAATATTTAAAATGAGAGACATTTTGTAGCCCTATAAAATACATAGGGAATATAACATTCCAGTGGACACAAAGAAGACAAATTCATAATCAAATTAAGAGTATGCTACAATGAGGAAGGAAAAAAAAGACAGGATTCCTTCTAAGCATCCAGGAGCCCTTAGCAACTTCTAGAAGCACACATTTTGATAACATGCATACTTGCTGGTCAGCTCATTTTGACTACTCCAATTCTGGATGTCTCCTACCAGTCCTGAGACTCATACTGAGACCTGAGCACTGTGGCCACCTTTCTTACCTCCTCAAAATTACTTTCCCCCAGGATCTCCTCACCTGTTTTTAGAAACTATCCTCCTATCCCATTGCCATGTACTCCTGTGCCTTTTTTTGTGTAAGGACAAATGAAAGAGAGCAATGGTTCTCAAATCAGACAGGCTTGCTGGTTACAGAGTCTTGGCTCTGTAACTAGTGACAGTATAATCTTGGACAGACCACTCTGTGCCTCCATTTCTCCAGTTCTAAAATGAGACTCGTCCTCTCACTTGGTTTATTTTTTTCTCTCTCTCTCACTTGGTTTATAAAGTTGTGAACATTAAATAAAATAATGCATTTACAGCTCTTAGCAGAGAGTCTTATCTTTATCATGTGCTTAATACATGACAATTGTAATGATAGCTGGCATTGCTCTTTTAATTGCCCCAGAGCACTTGAAATATCTCCTCCTCAGCTTAGTTAGTTACTTAGAGGTTTCTTGTTGTTTGGTTTTTTTCTTCACTATCAATGTGACTTTTATTACAGTTCATTTATGACCCCAATTCACCATTTTAATTAAAGCTTATTCAGAAAAATAAATAGGCATTATAATGACAGAAGACTTTGCAAAAACTTTATCTCACATGATATTCAAAAGTAAGCAAACATCTTCAAAACCACATATAAGAAGCTGATGAAAAAGTTTTGGCAGTTTTCAAGACACATTGACCAAACCATTGTTAATTCTCAACAAAGTTCCTATCTGTTGGATACCTCCTCTCACAGTTAATATTACATTAGATGCTTCAGGACAAGTAGTTTGACTTTCAATAAATTTTTAAAAATACATGTTCAAGATTTATAATATTATTCACAGAATCCTTGGCATAGTTGTATTTTAGGTTTTTTACTGCTTCGAAATCTGAGGTTCATGTTGTATCTCTTTTAGTCCCAAAAGCTCTGTTTTGAGTTCTCCAGGCTTTTGTGGAACTTCAGGTATTGTCAGGTCTGACTGGTAGTACCGGTGCACCCCTTCGCCCCCGCACACATGGCCAGCAGGCTGGCTGTGAACATTTTCAGATAGGTGGGTCACGGCACACCCACGGGCATGGTCAGCGGGCTGGACGGGGAAGGAAAGCGGTAGTTAGAAAGTTCTCAGCCCAGGGCCAGATGGCACTGGAAATGAGCATTCATTCACCCTGTATACAACACCAAGCCGCAATAGTGCGAGGCCAAATGCCCGGGCTCTCCCTTGATTCCCCTGTCCACCCTCGCTTTGGTTTCTTCGCTGAGGACACTAAGGAACCTTACTTAGAGTTTTTTTAAGGTAGAGGCAATCTTTCAGAATTATAGCTCTTACTCATCTGTCCTTAATGGCCTCTGTTTCTGTGACATTCTTGGTGCTCTTGCTCTCCTTCCAGAGAAGACCCTGACCTCAGAAGAGCTAAGCCAGCTACAGGAGCTGCTGTGCAATGGCTATTGGGCTTTTGAATGCCTCACTGTGCGAGACTATAATGACATGATTTGTGGCATCTGTGGTGTCGCCCCCAAAGTGGAAATGGCCCAGCGGAGTGAAGAAAATGTGCTGGCACTGAAGAGCGTGGAGGTGAGTGCCAGTGGCCTCTGTGGGCACACCATCAGAAGAGCTGTCTTCCCACCTGGGCAGCTGCCTTCCTTCCTACATGATGTCCTGAAGGGCACACAGCAAGAGCACCAGTCCTGTCCTGGGTGGGACAGGTAGCTTTCCTCTCCCTCTGTGCTAGACTCTTATCTGGGGAAAGCCAGAAGCATTAAAAGCATTATTTATTCATTTACTCATTCAGCAAAATTGCTGAGCGTGACCTTTATAAACTTTTTAGGTGCTTGCAGATAGCAGATTTTTAAAAAAATAATTTACTCTCTCATGAAGCTCACAGTCTAGTTCGGGGGAGGTAAGACTTAAATGAATGCCAGGTAGTGAGTGATAAGTCTACAGAAGGTAGGGAAAGAGCTGTGTTGGAACAGGGAACCCTTATATGTGGATTAGTTAGGGAAAGCTTCTCTGATAATATGGCACTTGAGAGAGATCAGAAGCCTGTGTAGTTCAGGTTGTAAAGTCCCAGGCAGAGGGTGCAGCAGAAGCAGGGCTTGGAGGCTGGTGTGGTAGTGAGGGGAGAGGCTGCAGGAGGCCACACCCTGCATATAAGATGTAATGCCTTGTAGTGAAATGAACCATTGAGGGGTTTTGAGGGAAATTAAATGTTGTGTTTTTTTTTTTATCCTGGTCCTTTAGTTCACCTGGCCTGAGTTCCTGGGCTCTAGTGAGGTAAACATGGAGGACTTTTGGGCCACAATGGAGACTGAGGTGATTGAGCAGGTGGCGTTCCCTGCCAGCATCCCTATCACCAAGTTTGATGCCTCTGTTATTGCTCCCTTCTTCCCACCACTCATGAGAGGAGCTGTGGTCGTCAACACGGAGAAAGACAAAAACCTGGATGTGCAGCCAGCACCTGGTAAGACCACCTGGAGGGTGACTGGGATCAAGGAAGGGCCTCATCAGGAGCCTGGGACATTGTCTATGGCATGACAGCATAAACAGTGTAAAATTATAGGGCCATGACAGCAGGTAACAAAATCTCCTAGAAGTTAAAGTCATGAACAGAGTTGCAAAGAGCTGCCTGCCATATTCTATGTGTGTAGATACACAGCTCACTGTGCACATCCTGGTGAGGACTACATTGAAATCTCCATTGAAAACCTAGAGAACAATTCTGATAGGGAGGCCCCAGGCCCAGTGATTGCAAGTGTGTATGTGAGAAGTGGGAGGATGAGCAAGGAATAGATATATAGGTCCCTCAGGTAGTCTGGTGGGTAATCTGGATTGTGTGTGGCGAAATCCTGGACTGGCTTGTAACAGCACAGGTTTCTGACAACTTACTTTGGTTCCCAGCTGTCCCATCACTGTCTTGAGCCTCTGTTGCTTTATGTACAAAGAATACATTATAGTGTTCCTGAACTCCTTGGCTGTTAGGAAGGCTAAGTGAGCTAATAATATAGTTGCAGTGATGAACCTCTTCCTCTTTTTTTTGTTTTTACTGTAACTCATTAAGAAATGGGTTATATGCATCATGGCAAAGAATGATACCATGCACATGTACATATGTCTAACTTCACAGGGTTCACAAAACTGTGCTTACTGTTAGCAAGTGCAACACATTTTGTTTTCAATTTTGTTTTGTTTAAAGATTGCTGGTTATGATCTGGTAAGTTGATTTCATAAGTACTTAATATTCTGTGACCTACAACTTCGGAAACAGTGGTTCTAAGTGCCACCTCCTATTTGCAGTTCCAAGTTCCCAGTACTGTTCGTAGGTTGATTCCCTACACTAAGCACATAACATGTAGAGAGGATTTCCAGAGTGGGGGATGCTGGTCCTCATGCTGCTGCACTTGTGGCAAAACATGTGAGCTCTTGATTCCAAAAAGCATCAGGGAATTTGGGTTTAAAAACAGACCCTGTACTGAAGTTCTTCTTGAGGTATCTCTTGGATACCTCACTTACAAATGTTCTGGGGCCCAAAGCTAATTCTGTGAAATCTCACATACCTATGAAAGTCGAAGACCTGCTGTTCATCCCACTTCTCCCAGCACCTGAAGAAATGATGAGTGCACAGCTTGCTTCTGCTTCTTGCTATTTCATAGGCCAAGCCCCTGGCTCTGCTTATCTTCACACATGAATTCTCCCCATAGTCTCTGATCTGCTTATCCTCATTCATGAATTCTCTCCTATCTCTGTTAGCTGGTGGCAGCACCCTTCTCTCAGCACTGTCGTCTCTTGCAGGCAATGGCAGTGTCCTTGTGAGGCTGCTCCAGGAGGGCACCTGTAAACTTGAACAGATTGGCTCCTACAGTGAGGAAGAGCTGCGGCATCTGCTGGGCCAGTGCAGCATCCCCTTTGGAGCGGAAGACTCCAAGGTGAGTGTCAGGTGCAGCAAAGGCAGTAAGAGCTGTGCAGGCAGACTGGCTGGTCACCTCTTCTGGTCAGGCATAGGAATACCTGTGACTGGTCACTTGTGGTGGATGAAGGGTACTGCTAATATGATAATGTGCATATGAGGCCTTTCCCTGCTGTTCAAGCTAACGGACCTTGAAACTCGGAGATCAGGAATCCTGCCCCTCCTGCTTACTATGCATGCCCTAGGGTAAGGTACTTTAACTGTGGTCTTAGTCTCCTCATTTGTGAAGTTGATATTACCACATATTTTTGCAGTGTGGAAATTGTCAAAAATATCACATCTGGCTATTGCGAGACATTCACTTTACAGTGGTAAGACCAATCCCAAGTGCTTAGAAAATGGGGTGCTATTGTACACGTAGCCCTAGTGGTGCAGTGAGTTACGTGTTGACCTGTGAGCCACTTTAGGGGATAAATAGAGACCTTCTGCTCCCATTAAGATGTAAGCTTTGGAAAAATGATGAAGAGTGCCTGCGAGTGGAGCCTCCACTCTGGGAGTTGGCTGCCATCTAGCATCTTGATGACAGTTACGTCGGTCACGTAAGGGAAGTTTTTTTGGGTCGTGTTTGATGTGTGTTAAACATAAAAGCAGGTGTCCCTTGAGCCTTTGACCAAGGGTGGAGGTCTACTAGAGAGTATAGCTTTAAATGACACAGCAGACGTTTATTTGCTGTACTGAACAACTTGGAGTTGCTGTGATGCTGAACACTGTTCCATAGTCGTGTAAAATACGATAATGGTTACCCATTACGTACAGTGTTTGGATGAGCTTCCAGATTATTTGATTCTGGGAAGCAGGAGTGGCATTCACTTCCTAAACTAGAGGCCTCTGGAAACTATAAACTTTCTAAACTCTATAAATGTACAGAAATGATGTTAGGTATAGAACAGAGTTCAGGTCTTTTATGCAAAGTTTACTCTGAGTCGTATTCAGCTCAACATTTAATCATTGCTAAATGAGACTAGTGCTGTTATATCTGGAGGAACAGCCTTTCACTTTATGCATCACTCTTTGTTAATGTGGTGTATGAAGTAATCTGGGTTTGCTGTGATGTTCAGCATTGTGCCACTGGGGTGTCAAATGCCATAATTTTCTCCCATTGTGGACAGTGTTTGGTGGAGCTCCCAGTTGTAAAATAGGTTTGGAAGCAGAAGTGGCATCCACTTCCTAAACCACATGCCTCTGGAAACTCTCTGAACTTGGAGAACCAGTGATAGTTACGGAAAGGCATTAGGTCTTTTGTCCATAGAGTTGCTATGAGTTGTGCTGGACTCGACTGCAATCAACAACAACAATAGTAGCCTAGTGGGTAAGGAGTTGTGCTTCCAACCCAAAGGCTTATATCCATCAACTGCTCTGCATGAGAAAGAAATGGGCATTCTTCTTCCATGCCTTTCATTGCCTCTGAAAACCGGCCAGCTATGAGTTGAGTTAAACTGACCTACATAGAGTGTGTTTTATTCTTCTGTTACTTATTGTCCTCCATGCCTTTGGTCTTTTGAAGATTTTATGCTTGCTTCAAGTTCAGATTAAAATGTTAGTTCCTCTCAGCTCCTTTTCCAGGTATGGTCTATAAAAAGAAACAAGGGCCCAGGACTACGGGTCTCTTATGCCAAGAGGAGGCTGCAGGGCTGCCTATGGCCCTGACTGTTTGTTCTTTGAGTTTTAAAATGAGCAGTTGAATTCACTATCCTAATCTCTTAGCATTCATCCCTGCCTTGTATCTGTCCTTCTGTCCAGGACCAGCTTTGTTTCTCCTTGTTGGCCCTCTATGAATCTGTACAGAATGGAGCCAGAGCTAGACAGCCCCCACCTCATCTCACAGGGGGTAAAATCTACAAAGTGTGCCCCCATCAGGTAAGAGGGTAGCAGAAGAGAGATTTGAGTTCTATTCATGTGTGTTTTACCTGTTGTACTGAGAACAGAGGTAGCTATGAAAGACTTTGTGTACTCTCCAGTCACTTGGAAGGCAAAATGAACATAACCTATAAGGGAGAAAGGGAATGAGAGAGATTAGTTTTTTTTGTAGTAGCAAGGATTCTCGGCATCAGCACTATAAACATTTTGAGTCATACTTTTTCATGGGGTTTGGTCTATACATTATGGGCTATTTATCAGCATGCCTAGCCTCTAATGCATTAGATAGCATGGCCCCTTCTTCCCAGCTATGATAATGAAAATTGTCTCCAGACATTCCAAGTGGGGAACAGACTCCCCTGATTGAGAACCACTGTAATAGATACATGTGAGATTACCTTAAGAAAAAGAAGGGCTTTGTTACGTTTGTCTTTTGTTTGTTTCTAAGAATACTCGAGAATTAAAGGCCTCCCAAGAACCAGCGCTGCTCCAGAGACCTTTCTTCCAGCATGTCAGTGTCTATATTTTCTCTTACCGTTTAACTTGTAGTCTGTTACCCCAGAAGTTCTGTTGATATCTCTTTAGTAACCTTTATATGTTGTGGATGAGGTTAATGAACTGGGACTCAATCCCAAGTTTCCTCCATGGAAGAGGAGAATTCAGCCAGTCAGTCTCCAGTGTCATTTCACTCATTTTGGTGAAGAAACAGTCATCCAACTTGTGACAGTAGCTTTGAAAAACTAGACAAGGGCCCAAGTAAAAAATAACAGAGGAGGAGCTGTTCTCTAAGGGAGTCAGACAAGATTGAGACTTGGATAGGACAGGGCCATAGTGCTGAGTCAGGGAAGAAATTACCAGAAGCAAGGTTGTGTAATCACTACCAAAAGCAAAAGGTCATTACAAAGATGAGAAAGAAAGAAAAGACTAAATTGGATATCAGAAGAGACTCTAAAACTTCTACTAGAATTTAGGCCAAAACAAAAGGAAAAAATACTGAAGTAGAGAGAAAAACAGAAGATTTCAGTGAGCAGTTTGAGAAGAGAGACCAAAGTATTAGTATAGAATGTGCAAAGACCTGGAGTTAGAAAAACAAAAGGGAAGAACACTTCTCAAGGTGAAAGAATAAATTCAAGTCTAGAGTTGTAATGCTGACAAATTCTGTGAACAAAATTTTGTTGTTATTGTTGTAAGATACCACCTTTATAAAAACTTAAGAATAGGTTTGTACACAAAAAGAAACATTCTTTTATTGTAACCTGGGAAATGAAAGGAGAGCACTTGCTAGATTAAAAAAACTCCCTCAAATTCACAGCCATCAAGTTGGTTTCAGTTCATAATGACCCTTCATTAGATTTCTGAGGCTGTAAATCACAACTGGATGGGATTGGCCGTCTTTGTCTTGAGCAGCTGTTAGTGGATCTGAACTGGCAACCTTTCAATTTGATGCACAACAGGTAGTAAACAATGCCATGAGACACATGCTAGTTCTAGTGAAGGGAAAAGTAATTTGCATCATGGAGGAAGTCAGCACAATATGACCAAAATTGGTGAAGACACTGAGAGATATGCAAGAGAACAGGATAATCACAGTAAATGCTGTAACATAGAATGTTGTTGTGTATGAACAAAATTTTTAATGATGCCAGAGCCTTACAAGATGATGGAAGGAATACACAGTCGCTGTAGTGAAAAGAATTGGTTGACACTGAATCGTAAGTAGCATATTACCAAGAACTAGTGGCAATGAAAGAGGAAGCTCAAACTGCATTGAAGGCATTGTAAAAAAATAAGGCTCCAGTAATTAACAAAATAGCAACTGAAGTTTTTCACAAAAGTTGCAGCCTGGGTGTGCTCTTTAGTTGATGCATAGAAATGTGCGAGACAGTTACCTGACCAACCAACTGGAAAAGATCAGTATATTTGTACATCCCAAGAAAAGGTAATCCTACAGAGTATGAAAATTATTGGACCATTATCATTAATATCACAGGCAAGTATAATACTGCTTAAAATTATTCAAAAGTGGCTCTTGCAGTTTATTGACAGAAAACTGCCAAAAATTCAGGCTGGATTCAGAAGCAACTATGGCAGGAGGAATATCATTGCTTATGTTAGATGGGTTTTTGATTGAAAGCAGAAAATACCAGAAAGATATTTTGACAGTATGAATCATAAATTATGGGTAACATTGAGGAGAATGGGAATTCCAGACACATAATTGTTCTCATGTGAAACCTATGTCTGAACAGAACAGGAGAACATAGTGTAAAATGAGTAAAAATGTGTGCCAAGGTTGTACCTTTCTCCGTACCTATTTAATCTATATGCTGAGCAAATCATTTGAAAAGCTGGACTCTACAAAGAAGAATATAGCATCAGTACTGGAGGGAGGCTCAACAACAACCTACATTATACAGGTGACACAATTTTGCTTGCAGAAAGGGAAGATTATTTGAAGCACTTACTACAAAGATCAAAGACTATAGCTTTCAAATGAATTCAATCTCAACATCAAGAAGACAGAAATCCATACTGCTGGACCCAGTAGGCAACGTCATGGTTGTCAGTGACTTCATTTTGAAGGGATTCACAATCAGCACATATGATAGAAGCAGTCAAGAAATCAAAAGACATATGGTATTGGGAAAATCTGTCATCAAGGACCTCGCCAAAGTGCAAAAGACCAGGGATGTTGGTATAAAACTATGGTGGGTCTGATCCTAGCCATGATCTTTTCAGTGCTTCTGAAAATTGGACAGTGAATTAGGCAGACCAAAGAAGAATCAATGCCTTTGAATTGTGGCATTCGTGAAGAATATTGAATATTCCATGAATTGCCATAAGAACAAACAAATCTGCCCTGGAGGAAGTGGAACCTAGTGCTCCTTAGAACCTAGCATGGTGAAACTTGATCTCAGATATTTTGAGCATATTATCAAGGGGGCCAGTCCTTGGAAAAGGACATCATCCTAGAAAAGGTCAGCAAATGAGTAGAAAACCCTCAAGATGAATTGGCACAGTGTCTGTCACAGTGGACTTACTGTAAACCATGAGGTTGGGGCAGGATAGGGCAAGATTTTGATCTCTTGTTCATAGGGTCATATGAGTCGCATCTACTTCATGGTACTAAGCATAGCATTTATCACTGAGGAGGGAAGGTACAATGAAACAAGTGGAAGAATGTTGGAAAAACCAACAGGGACCAAATCCCATCATGCCCTGTAGGCCCAAGGAGGGCTTTGGGTTTTCTGCGAGTGCTAAGAGAATTACTGGAACGTCTGAGGAGAATGGGAGTGAAGACAGGTCTGCTTTGGGTGCCGGGAGCTCCACCTGCTTGTAGACGAGTGTGTGCTCAGTCGCCAGCAGATCGTGGTGGAAACATAAAGCCTGCTGAGCAGGAGCAGACTAGAGAGAGGCTGGCCACGCAAAGCCCTCCTGAGGTGAGGGAGCCAGCAGGTCCGCCCAGCTGCTCAAAATGGAATCAGGTGATTAACTTCTTTAACAGAAGCCTGTGTCTGGGGAGATGATTGATGCTGCCTCTACCCTGTGCAGGCCAGAGTCCACTCAGAGGGTGTGTTCATGTGTGACTCACAGGGTTGTAACAGTTTAGATTTCAGGGAGAGCTGGAGGTGAGCAGAATCCCTGTGTGTGCAGAGCTCCCCAGCTGTCTTAAGGTACCTGGGTGACCTGCTGGGTACATTGACTGGTGCCATCTTGCGCTCCCATCTGGAAGCATCTCAGGGTCTGATAGGCTGGTTTAAAACACAGGTGCTAATGCTCTACTCCTTTCTTAGGAATTGGGACAAATAAGGACCTCTTGTAATCCATTGGCCAGGCAGCTGTCCTCCAAATTTCTCACCATAGACTGGTGAGCGCATCCGGAGCATCCAAGTCAATTGATATCCCATTGATTGGGGGTCTCTCTTTTGCCATTGTCTTCAATGCAGCTTCTGCTTCCTCCTTCATTACCGTGGGCTCTAGTTTATATGACACTTTCTGAAATTTTTCAGTGTCAATTCTTTCTGGTACAGTGATTCTGTGTATGTATTCCCTCCATCTTTTTTTGATGCCTACATTATGCAGATGACCCAACCTTGCTTGCTTAAGCTGAGGAGGACTTGAATCACTTTTTGCAGAACATCAAGGAATTAGCCTATGGTATGGATTGCATCTCAGTGTCAAGAAAACAAAGGTTCTTACCACTGGACCAATAGGTAATAATATCATGATGGAAGGAGAAGAGATTGAGACTGTCAGCAGCTTCAGGAAATAAAAAGATGCACTGCACTGGGAAAATCTGCAGTTAAAGACCTCTTCAAATTATTGAGGAGTAATGATGTCAGTTTGAAGACTAAAGTGTGTCTGATTTAGGCCATAGTCTTTCTGATCACTTACTGTGCATCTGAGAGCAGGACAGTGAATAAGGATGACAGAATAAGAGTTGATGCCTTTGAGCTGTGGTGTCGGAGAAGAGCACCGACCATCCTTTAAACGGCCAGGAGAACTTGGAGAGAGTGCATCTGGGGCGCTCTTTGGAGGCAAGAATGATGCTAGAAAGGGTGGAAGGTCGGCAAAGGAGAGGAAGACCCTTGACCAGGTAGATTGACACAGTGACTGCTGTGATGGGCTCTTGTGTGTCAGGAAGTATGTGGATAGTGCAGGATAGAACAGAGTTCAGATCTTTTTTGCATAGGGTTGCTGTGAGTTGTACTCAACTCTATGACACTGAACAAAAAAGCTCCACAACACTGCTGCTAGCATATCCTTAGGTTTGGGATAAAGAATTTACATTTTAAAATAGCTCTTCAGTTATTTTGTAGCCATAATTGGGAACCACTGAACTAGACAGTGATTTGTTAGATTGTTGGGAATATTTGGAATAGATGCCCTCTTGACATAGCCTCTCTGCCTTCTGCGTACAGAGCATTCCTGACTTCTCTTGTGGGAGGGTAAAGTGGCTTCGTTTGTTTTGTTTAGTGACACAAGTAGGAAGGGAGCAAGAATGCCGTAGGCTCCGGCTTGTTGGTCATGGTCGTGAAACCTCATTGCTGGCCTTCCTGGGGGATGGCAGGAGCAGACTGTCTGCAGATCTGCTTACCTTGTGTGTTGTTCTGTCTCTCCCACCCTAGGTTGTCTGTGGTTCTAAGTACCTTGTTCGAGGCGAGAGTGCCCGTGACCATGTAGATCTGCTTGCTTCTTCCCGCCATTGGCCCCCTGTCTACGTGGTAGATATGGCCAGCCCTGTGGCCTTGTGTGCTGACCTCTGCTATCCAGAGCTGACCAACCAGATGTGGGGAAGGAACCAGGGCTGTTTTTCCAGCCCCATGGAGCCACCTGTGGTGAGTCTGCCTTAAGGAACTGGAACAATCCCTCGGGCCAACCATATTTCACCCTCTCATAATGCAAGAAGGCATCCCCAGCATCCTGTAGCTGCACTAATATTTTGTCTTGTTCTGGAACTAGCATTTACTCCAGTGAGGGAGACCACAGTATGGCATATACTAGTCAGGATAATCTAAATGTTGGTGTCTTGGAATAAACAAATAAACCTAGAAATTTCTAACTTTGAGAATCATGTGTACATTGACTTATTAAATGCCCAGCTAGGCCTGGAGTACACTGTTGGACTTACCAATGTGACTATCACTATACTGCATGGCATGTTTGTTATATTCTAGACACATAACGATTTAGAAAACACTGATCCTTGCCCAACCTTGTTTTATTAAAAGGGGACCTTAAGGCCCAGATAGAGCTTTGGTGGCCTAGTGGGTAAGGAATTGTGCTGTCAACACAAAGGGATGCAATTCGAGTTCCCAGCTTCTCTGCAGGAGAAAGATGGCTGTTAGTTCTGACTGGAAGGCTCAGAACAAGGCCCATAGAGGGGAATGTGTGCACTGTTATACAGCAAGTTAATGGCAGAGCCCTTGTGTGTCTTGAAACATTGTACCAGGCAATTCTTAATAAAAGGTGCCAGCCCTCCAAGGCCAGCTGTGCCCTTTGATGTCAGAGGCATTAACACTGTTACCAGCAGGAGGGTATCTGCGTGGGTTTATTGTGTAAGGATAAGGCTTCTCTGGCCTTATCAGAGAGGAGACAGCACTGTTGTCACGTAACTTTTGCTAACTCTGTGGGCTTGGTGGCCCTGTGAACTTTTATTGCCGATTCCAAAAAGGGGTCTTAGTCTCAGCTAGTTCCTCCCCATTCCTCCTGCGGCTCCCATCCTAAGCCCCTGGGTGCAATAACAGCAGTGGCTCGAGTAATCCAACATCAGTTCCGAGAGTAGATGTAGTCCCTGTGTCTGTTCTCACACGAGTAAATGGAGGCAGAGAGAAAGGGCACTTGAGGGTTTAAACCTCAGCCATCTGACTCCATAGTGCAGTCATTCCTTTGTACTCACGTGGCTGCTCCTCTCTCTTCTAGAGTGTATCCTGCCCAGAGCTCTTGGACCAGCACTATACCGTGGACATGACGGAATCGGAGCACTCTGTCCAGCACCCAGTCACCAAGACGGCCACACGGCACATTGTCCATGCAGACACACAGCCCAGTCCTGGCGACCCCAGTGCAGAGCACCACTCCCTGACCCTGTGCCCCGAGCTGGCACCCTACACCAACATCCTGGCTTCCATGGCAGATAGCAAACCACACAGTATCCGCCAGCGGCCTGTTGCCTTTGACAATGCCACCCACTATTACCTCTACAACCGCCTCATAGACTTCCTCACCAGCCGGGAGATTGTCAACCGGCAGATCCACGACATTGTGCAGAGCTGCCAGCCTGGTGAGGTGGTCATCCGGGACACACTCTACCGCCTGGGAGTGGCTCAGATCAAGACAGAGACGGAGGAGGAGGGTGAGGAAGAGGAGGTTGCCGCAGTGGTAGAATAAGCCACTTAGTCTACTGTACAGGGATTGCACCATCTCTCTGAAGCCATAGTGCGGGCCTTGCCTGAGGCAGATCATCCAGGAAAATGGCAGAAGTGTTTGCCTGTGGGGAGGGCCTCTGGCTACTAGGACTGACCAAAGAGCTTCCATTTCCTGAGCAAAGAGGAGCCCAGGTTCCTTGGCCCTGCACTCTGTCATCCCACAGGGTGTGAGGAGCAGCACCAAGAAACCCTTCACTGGCCCTGAGAGCACCTGGGGCATAGAGTATGTTCAGCAGGAAGGAAGAAGACTGAGGGAAAGGCTGGTGGCTAGTGGGGCATCCCCAGGGGCAGGGCAGAGATTCTAGAACTAGATGGGAAGGCTGCTAAGGCATCTCTTTCCTCCTCTGAGCAATCATTTCCAGCCCTTGTAGCCATGTGTGTTCCTTAGTCTGTTGCCTTTGATTTGGGGTCTTGTGAGCCTCATCAGCTCTAGGAGTTCCTTTGAGCACTGATTATCCCCAGGGGAGGGTTGCATTTATCTGAAGTTTGTAAGTGGCACACTGGGGAATCTGTGGCGGGAGAAAAGCCACAGCTCTTCCAGGACTCCTCTGCCCTGAGCTGTGAGGAAGAACGTTCCCTCCCTCCTTTCCCTGGCTGCTACTGCTGCCTCCTACATCCTCTTGGGCCATGGATTCTCACCACAGAGGGGATGTGGTCCATGGTCATGACACAGCCTGGCAGCGGTAGGAAAAATTCCCTTCTGTGAAGGGGAAGCAGACTGGGCCGCAAGGAAACAGCGGGACTGGCTCAAGTGCCCAAGGTTTGCTAGGGCACGGGAATTGGCCATGTGTTACTTAATTTATTAAGAGGAGTGGAGTAGGTGGCTTTTTTCCCCCTCCCTCTTCCCCTAACAAGAATAAAGTTTATTAAATTATCAGGTTTGGGTGAAGCACGTGTCAGTTCCGTTGTCATTTTTCTGGAGAGAGGTGTGGTTTTGCCACAGAGGTGCTGAGCTTATCACCACACATGAAGGAGGGGCTGGGGCAGCACAGAAACCAGAGAGCCAACTGTGTTAATGCTGTTAGTTTAATGTCAACAGACGTCCCGCAGCGTGACTGTTAGTGATGATGAGTCCACTTGGGGGAGTGCATGCTTCTTGCTTGGTGTGGCCAGCCACACTCCGAGGTCTTGTGCTCTTCTGCCCAGAATGCCAAGGTTCTGGGCGAAACTCCTAACTTTTTAGCTGCCACGTGGCTCATTACAGCAGTACCAGATCTATGTGGGGTGGGAGTAGGGTAAAGGTTTTTATAGGACAGAACAGATGGTTGGTTAAATCCACTGGCCGGAGTCACCTGTCCCAAGGAGCAAAGCTGACTTCCACTTCCATGCCCCCTCCTACTGTTCCACCTGGTCGGACAAGGGAGCTTCTGTTCTGCCAGTCCAAGCAACCCTGCAAGGCCTTGTTTTCTCAACACCAGGGCAGCTCCTGGGGACTTGTTAGGCATAGAATAATTGAGTCATAAAGGGGTTGAGGAAGGGAATTCTTGGAATAGTGAGTTGAGGGTTCTATCAGTGGGCATAGCAAACACGAGGCTGACAGCTTTGAGAACCATTGAGGAGGGGATGAGGGCTCAGCCCCCAGCCACCTACTGGCAGTGATGGCCCAGGCTCTGGAAATGGGGTCCTCTGACCAGTTGTGAGTGGTCCACATTACTCAGTTTCAGAACTGGGCAGGCTGTTGAATGACATAACCACAGGCAGAGTTTGTGTGTTCTCCCCATGTTGCCCAGGCATGGAGGAGTTGAAGCTTAGAAGGAAGATGTCAGCACTGTCTCAGCAGAACTGATAGTTGTTGGGCTGCAGCAGCGGCTGGGCGCTGTCCCCTTGCTCACAACAGGCCAGGTGCTCGCTTGAGCTCTCCTCCTCTGGCTCACTGCTGCTGCTGCCGCCACTGCTGCTGCTGGGCAAGTTGGCATAGTCCTGAGGATGAGAAGAGCCAGGAGACACTCAGGCCTTATTCCTCAAACCCAGCCCAGCTTACTGTAGCAACCCCTGCACAGGGCCTACCCCACTCACCCGCTCTTTTCCGTCTGCTTTGGCCTGCTCCTGAAGGAGGGAGTAGATCTGCTGGAAAGTGGGTCTTCGAGTGGGCTCCAGGTCCCAGCAGGCCTGCATGATGCTGTATCTGGAAACAGGACAGAATGCATGTGAGGTTCCCCAAGGTTTGGTAATATATCCATCTGCTCCCAATGGAACCCCACCCAGCAGAGGCCTGCGGACTCAGTCCGAAGTGAACTTAGCATGAATCCTGTGCTAAGACTTGCACATCGTTCCTTCATTTAATCGCAGTTCCTCATTTCATCACTCCTTGGCAAATGAGAGAAGAAAGCTCAGGTAGTAAGTATCTTGTGCAGGTTCAAAGAAGAATCTAAGCTTGCAGGTTGATTTGAGGGACTTGCTGCAGAAAGGCAGAGGCTTAGGCTGGTTAGCTGGCTAGGTGGGTGGATCCACCACAGAAAGAAGGCTGAGCAGAGACAGGAGTGGTTGTGTCTGACCTATGGTTTCACGGGGTGGACTGTTGGCCACTGGTCAGTGCAGAGGCTGTGAGGAGGGTTCCTGACTTGCTCAGGCCAAGGGATGAAGAGATGAGCCTGCCTCTGAATCACCATGTTGTTCTGGGTCTTCAGGTGGACTAGGACACAACAATCCTATGAACAATGGCTCTGAACCCTGTCCTGTCTTGGGGCAGCCTCACATCTGACCTATTGCTACAATCACTGTAGTACTGCTGTACAGTAAATCGGTCTCCTTGAGAGTTTCCTCTTTTACACTGACAACCCTTCCAATCATGATGTTCTTACACTTTGAAGAGGTCCTTGATATGCCCAGTGCAGCACATCTTTGATTTCTTGGCTGCTGCTGCAGTGGGTATTGATGGCAGATCCAAGAGAAATTAAATAATGATAACTTATCAATTATGATGTTGCATATTTGGTTCATTTGTGAGGTTCTTTAATGATATTGAGATGTAATCTATATTGAGGGCTCTGATCTTTGATCTTAACTCAGTATTTCAAGTTGTCTTTGTGGAAGCAAGAGTGTGTCATCTGCACAGTGCATGTGGTTGATTAGTCTTCCTCTAATCTTGAGGCCAGATTCTTCTAAATAAAGTGCAGCTTCTCAGATTGTTGAGGATAAAGATTGAATGTCAGTACTGTCACGTCAGAGCTGACCCATAGCTTACAGTTTTCAGAAGCCATTTTGGTGGACAAGTGGTAAGAAGTTGCAGTGCAACCGTAAAGGTACATGATTTGCATCTACTAGCTGCTCTGTGAAGAATGGGCAGTCTCCTCACATGTGATTGACTGCCTCTGAAAACTAGCTGGAGGGTCAACTATGAATCCGCCCTAACTTTAGAGTACACAGCAACAACAACTGGCATGGGAAGAGATTGCCCAACCTCCCACAAAGCAGCTGGTGGATTCAAACCGTGTGCCTGTGGGTTGACAGCACAATTCCTTCCCAATAAAACACCAGAGCTCCCTTGAATAGTAGAGAAAAGAATACAACTCTGATGCATACCTTTTCCGATTTCAAACTGTGGCATCTACTTGTAATAACTGCTTCTTGGTCAATATGTAGGTTTTGTTTGGTACCGTTAAGTAGTGATCCGAGTCAAGTACAACTTACAACGACCCTACAAGACTACAACAGATCTGAACCCTGTCCTAGCCTGTGCCATACTCACACTTCATTACACAACATGGCAGTGACTGTGTCGATCCACCTTGTCAAGGGTCTTCCTCTCCTTCGCCAAACCTCTGCCTTTACGAACATCACGTTTCCATCCAAGGAATAGCCCCTTCTAGCACCATGTCCGCAGAATGTGTGATGATGAGTATGCCTCCTCATCTCTGCCTCCAAAGAGCACTCTGGCTGCACCCTCTCCAAGACACATTTGTTCTTTTGGCCATCCATGGAATGTTCCGTGCTCTTCTCCACCACTATAGCTCAAAGGTATCAATTCTTCTGTCCTCTCTATTCATTGTTCAGCTCTCAGATGCATAGCAAGTGATTGGAAAGGCAATGGCCTGAATCAGACACACCTTAGTCCTCAAACTAACATCATTACTCCTCAATAATTTGAAGAGATCCCTAACTACACACTTTCCCCAGCACAATATGTCTCCTGATGTCCTGACTACTGGTATCGGGGTGTTAATTGTGGATCCAAGCAAGGTAAAGTTGTTGACAATTTCAGTCTTCATCTCTCATGATGTTGCCTGTCGGTCCAGTGTTGAGAGAGAGAATTCATGTTTTCCTGTCGTTGAGAGGCAATATATATTTAAGGCTGTATTCTCCTAAGTGGTACAGCACTCTTCTGTCAGTATGCTTTACTGAAGTAACCTGGGGTTTCTGTGATGCTGAAACTTGTGCCATTGGGGTGTCAAATGGCATAACTATTACCCATGGTGGACAGTGTTTGGTGGAGTTTGCAGTTTTTTGTTTTTTTTTTGCTAGAACATAATTTTTTTTTTTTTTTGGAGTTTGCAGTTTAAGACAGGTTTGGAAGCAGGAGTGGCATCTACTTCCTAAACAGCATGCCTCTGGAAACTATGTACTCTGAGAAACGATTACAGTTACAGAAAGGCTTCACATCTTTTGTTCATAGGGTAGCTATGAGTCGTCCTCGACTTTGATACTCAGCAGCAATTGCTTCAAGTCCTCACTGCAAGCAAGATTGTGTCAACTGCATAACACAGGTTACTGATGAGTCTCCCTGTGACCCTGATGCCATATCCCTCTTTATAGAGTCCGGCTTCTCGAATAATTTGCTCAGCATACAGATTGAATAGGTATGGCGAGAGAATAACAACGCTGACAGATTCCCTTGTTAATTTTAAACCATATAGTGTTCCCTTGCTCTCTTTACACAACAGCCTCCTGGTCTAGGTATAGGTTTCGCAAAAGCACAAATATGTGCTCTGGGATCCCCATTCTTCTCAAAGTTAGCCGTAATTTGTTAAGATCCACAGTCAAATGCCTTTTCATAGTCAATAGACATAAACAAACATTCTTCCTATATTCTTTATTTTCAACCAGGATCCATCTGACTCAGCAGTGATATCTCTTATGCTGCAGCCTCTTCTAAATCCTACTTGAACTTCTGACAGTTCCCTGTCTATATACTGTTCTAGCCGTTCTTAAATGATCTTCAGGATTTTGCTTGCATGCAATATTAATAATATTGTTTGGTAGTTTCCACATTCTTTTGAATAGTTTTTCTTGGGAATGGGAACAGAGACAGACATCTTCCAATCCGTTGTCAGACAGCTGTCCTTCAAATTTCTTAGCATAGACTCATGACACATCCAGGACTGCATTTGTTAAGTAAAACAAGTCAATTGGTATCCCATCGTTTCCTAGGGCCTTATTTATTTTTTTGCCAATGCCTTCAGTGCAGCTTCTACTTCCTCCTCCTCTACCATTGGCTTCTGCTAATATGGTACTTGCTGAAATTTTTCAGTGTCAACCAGTTTGTTTTGGTTCCATGATTCTGTGTATTCCCTCCATCATCTTTTGGTGCTTTCTGAGTCATTCAATATATTGCCCGTAGCATCACTCAGTATTGCAACTTCAGGCTTAAATTTGTTTTCAACTCTCAGTTTAAGAAACGCAAAGTGAGTTCTTCCCTTATTTATTCTCCAATTCCAGCTCTGCACATTCCATTATATTACTTTGTCTTCTCAAACTGGGCTTGAAATCTTCTGGTTCACCTCTTTTGTTTTCCACAACAATCAGCTGTGGGTTTGTATAGGTTTTAGCTTAGCACAATTAAGTGTTCTAAAATTCCCATTCTTCTGAGTGTTACCCATAATTTATTATGGTCCACACAAGTCCAATGCCTTGCATAGTCAAAACACAAATAAACATCTTGGATTTTTTGCTTCCAGCTAAGATCCATATGACCTCAGCAATGATGTTTCTTGTTCTGTGGCAGCTTCAGAATCCAGCTTGAATTTTCACCAGTTTGCTCCAGTCACATTTTGTCACACACAAAAAATCAATTTCTTTTTAAGAATCTGTGTTATTTGGAAGTTTGCAAATGTCAATTTTTTCAATCATTCATAGGCAATAATTACTGTTAATTGATGCAATTAACTTGTTATGTCTAAACAAACCCCTATCAGTATTCCCTTTCTGCACTTTTTTCCCCTTCCCTCCACTCCCGCTTTAACCAGTAGTGTTTCAGCCACTTTTCAATAATATTCAGCAAGATGTTACTTACTTGTGATATTAATGATACTGCTCAGTGATTTTTGTACTCTGATCTTTTTTTTTTTTGAATGACCATAAAGGAACTTTTTCAGTCTGTTGGCCAAGTAGCTGTTTTACATACTTCCTGTCATACACTAGTGAGCATGTCCAGAGCTGTATCTGTTTGCTGAAACACTTCTAGTGGTGTTTCATCAATTCTGGAGGCCTTACTGTTTACAGTGTGTTCAGTGCAGCTTGTATTATTTCTTTCCATACTGTTGGTTCCTTATCATATCTGCTTCCTTAAAAGGTTCAGCATCACCCAGTTCTTTTTTGTACAATGACTATATTCCTTCCATCTTCTTTGGCTAGTTTTTCCATCAGTCAGTTAGAATCTCTTCATTATTGCCACTCAAGGCTTGAATTTGTTCTTTAGTTCTTTCAGCTTAAGAAATGCGCTGTATGTTTTTCCTTTTGGGTCTTCTAACTTGGTCTTTACATATTTCTTGTGTTGCTTTATCTTCTCAGGTTTCTCATCATCTGTTCATCATTTCTTCCTTCTTGATTAGCTTCTTTACAGTCATGAGCAAGTTTCAGAGTCTCATCTGATATCCAGTTTAGTCTCTTTTTTCCTCTCTCTGTAATAACCTTCTGCTTTTTCCATGGACAATGTCCTTGATGCCATCCTACAACTCGTGTCCAGTCCTTTGTGTTCAGTGCATCAAATCTGTTCTTGAGATTATTTTTTTAATTCACCTGGGGTAAGCTCAAGGTCCTGTTTTGACTATCATTCTCATTTTCTCCTTTTGCACTCATTCTCATTTTCTTCAGCTCCAGTTTGACCTTAGATTAAGAGTAATTGATGATCTGTGCTCCAGCCGGATTTTGACTGCTGACCTTGAGCCCCTTGCTCCACTGTCTCTTTGACAGGTACAGTCCAAAGTATTAACAGTGAGTAAGTCACTGCACAAAATTCTGTCATTCGATCTCCATCCTCAATCTCTCACCACAGCCATAGTTTCCAACTACTACCTTTTATCTCTTGCATTGCTATCATCAGTTAATTTTCATGCATCTTGATTGCATGTTCAGTCATTTCAGACTGCTGACGTTGATAGAAATTCTCAGTTCAACTTTGACTTTAGTGATTGGTGAATATATTTGAATAATTGGAATAACAAGCTATAATCCTATGTGATAATATATATGATAGCATTGTATACTTCAGGATATATCTTGAAATGTTTTTTACTGTGTACATGACACCATTCCTCTTCAGTTTGTCAATCCCGACAAAGTAGATGATGATTGTCTGATTCAGAATGGCCAGCACCAAGCCACATCCGCTTACCAGTGCTTAGGATATTGATCTCTATGCGGGCCATCTCATTTTTGACAGCTTCTAATTTTCGTAGGTTCCTGTTTAGTACATTCCCTGTTCTGATTGGTAATCCACGTTTGCCGCTATCTTGCCACATGAACATATGAAGGTTCTTCATTGAGTATATGCTTTCTTTTTGTCCATGTCATTACGGTAGATTCTACTTTGAGGAGGCAGCTCTTCCACAGTCACATTTTTAGTACCTCCCATCCCGAGGGGCTCATCTTGGCACACTTAAACAGTGTTCTGCTGCTATTCAGTGCTTTCTATTTCAGAAGTATCTGGCCAGCCTTACATCCTAATCTTTGCTTTGAAGCTCTGTGAAAACAGATTCACCTTGGTTGTTCCTGCTGGCATTGAGATACCAGTGACATAGCTTCCAACATCATAGCAACACAAAAGCCACCACAGTACAGCACACTGACAGACAGGTGGTGGCACCTTACCAGTCGGAGTTAAAGGTCATGTTTTTCTTTCCATTTTCACCTCTGTTAAAATTCTGCCAAGAGCAGTTCTTCCTCTCCTAGGATATACAGGAAACTAGAAGAAACCCTGCCTTGTTTTAGAGTCTTGTAGGGGAGATAAAGCTGGACCTCAGAACTTTTTAGAGGAGAAAACCCATTCTTTCCCATCTACCTGCCTTGGCAATGCGACATCTGGGCGGTTGCCCTCCCTCCCCAGGATCCCTTCACTCACATCTTCTTGGGAGCAAACGCAGGCTGGGCCATTTGGTAGCCATCCTTCACCAGTTTATAGAACTTGCTGTTCACCAGGATGCCAGGGTAAGGGTTCAGCCCTGCAAAGGCCAAGATGACATCAGAGGCCATGCCTTGGAGCCTCCCCGTCACCTCCCTCCACTCAGACATCTGTAAAGTTGAGGTGCTGGGGGTACCTATAATGATGCTAGAATTCCAGGAGTTCACTGTGCAAAGGGCTCGTGTTTATAGACAGATGAGAGCCTTCACCTAGTGCAGTATTAACTATCGTTACAACTAGAGAGCTTTGGGGACATAGTGGCTAAGTGCCTGCCTGGTGACTGGCAGTGTGGCTGTTTGCACCACCCAGCTCACCGCTCCGTGGAAGAACAGCCTAGCAGGGTGCTCCCATGAAGATTGCAGGCCAGGAAACCCTGAAGGGAAGTACTGCTCTGTAACGTGGGGGTCACAGTAATAAATGTATGGCACCTAACAAATGGATTCCCAAAGAGGGAGTCTGCATTCTAGATAGCAGAAACTGCACAAGCAGAGAAGCAAATGTGGAACACCCTAGAGGGGGCACCCTTCTCACGGCAGAGCTGCTACTCTCAGCCCCTATCTGTCCCCCCACTCCCTTCAGCCCTTCCTCTGCCCTGAGCACAAAGCTCACTGGCATCCTGCCCCACAAGGTACACGGGGTTGAACCCAGCGACTTACCCAATGAGAAGATTTCCCAGAGAAGGATGCCGTAGGACCAGACGTCACTCTGAACCGTGTACACACAGTCGAAAATGCTCTCGGGAGCCATCCACTTCACGGGCAGGCGGGCCTGGCACAGCAGGCCCTGGTCACACTGGGGCCTGGCCCACCGCCCTCCCCAGCTTAGTACTCCCACTCCCAGCACTTACATTGCCCTTGACAATGTAGTTGGAGTCATTCATGATGTCCCTAGCCAGCCCGAAGTCCCCAATCTTGGCCACATGCCCGCTGGTCAGAAGCACGTTTCGGGCCGCCACGTCCCGGTGGATGCACTGGGGGGAAGCATGACAGATTAGGTGAGGGCCTGGAGGCCTTGGGGTCCCCCTCAGAGGAGAACATTTGAGCTCTTTACTGTGGGCTCCTACCAAGACACCCAGATCTGTGACAATGTTTTGTAACCATCACCTGAGCTGCCAGACCCTCCTGGTCCTTTGTCCCCAAGAAGCAGGACAAGCACCAAATTAAGAGTGTAACTTTGGCCCAGAGCAGTGAGCTCCGTGTGCTGTGAGCAGCTGCCTTCCTCAGGGCCTGCCTTTCCAGCCTCCTCCCTTGAAGCTTTTCCCTAAGTGTCATAACCTTGTTTTATCCTCAAAAAGATTTAATGATTTTTTAAAAGTTTTATGATTATGCATATTTTTATAGAAACTAAGGCTCAGAGAATAGTTGGGCAAAGTCGTATAATAGTGGCAGAGCCATAGTCAAGCCTGGGCTTCCCAAGTCTGCACTGTGAGGGTGATGGTCAATGTCCAGCTCTGCAGACTCTTGGTCATCTTGTATCCTATGAACTGCAGGAAGTTAGTTACCATCCCCAGTTTACTGTACGAGGAGCTGGCTCATTGCTGCTGGAACCTGAGCAGAGACTCAGACTTCCCGAGCTAATAAAGGTCTTTACAACCCGTGAGACCATGTGTGTCTGAGTAATAGGTAAAGTCTGTTCGTGGAAATGTGCATGGGGTCACTGTCAGCTGCTTAGTAGGGGCTCCACCCCTCCTGAAGGGCCTCTGAACACCCCCTTTCCACTGGCTTTTGTATCCCATTGCTGCCCTGTGGTCACTTGCTTCCTTCCCCGCCCCCCTTCACATATTTCCCTCTCCTGTCACCTTTACTCAGTTGAGGTCTTGGGTTCAGCTTCCCACCAGCAGGGACCTTAACCACACGTGGGACCAAGGACAAGCCCAGACTCACATTCTTAGAAGCAAGGAAAGCCATGCCCTGGGCCACCTGGCTTGAGAAGTGGAGCAGGTCTCTGAGCTCCAGGGGCCGCCCATCCTCCTTGTCCAGGTCTGTGGAGGGAAAAGGCTTCAGGATGGCATTGCCACAACTCTGCTCTCCCCTGACCCTGGCACTCATCACTGCCCCCCACCTCGACCCTGGCACCTCCTTACCTTGCTCAGAGAAGGAATCATTTGAAGATGAAGTGGAGACAGGCCTCATCTCCACGTAGGTGTCCACATCCTGACTGGAGAAGCCACTGTCCCTGCACAGGAGAGGGGGTCCGGAGGGTGAGTCGGTCACTGCTGATGGCAGCTCAGGCCATGACCTCACCCAGCCCTTAAGCAGAAAAGGGAAGGAACCTTGAGGTGAACTTGAACATCTATTTCTGACAAGGAACCCTCCTTCTGCTGCATTCCAAGTAGTCGGTGAGCTCTGCTGGACCATCCTCCATTCTAGCCTGTATAGGGTCTACCTGTGAGAAGGCCCTTTCTCGTTCCCATGTAAATCACCCTCTGCATGTTCCTCCTCCCAATCTTTGCTCTTCTCTCCAGGATCACAGAGGAGTCAGCCCCCTCTTCCCCATCACAGCCCTGCAGGGCTTTGAACGTACTCAGAGGGGCCCCTTTTTGAGGGATCTCTTCTCCAGAGGAGTTTCTCCCCTCTGAGGACCTTACATTCAAGTCACTAGGGAGCCTTTATTACCCTCTGTGCCAGGACTGCAAATCAGTGACTTCAGAATCTCAGGGATGAAACCTAGTCATGTGCATTTTTAAATCTGTCCAGGTGATTCCAGTGTACATCCTGAGTTGGGCCCACTAGTCTAGAAGAATGTGTCCTTTGCTGTCATCAACATGCCTATGAATCATCCCAGGATCTCCTAACAATGCAGATGCTAATTCTGTAGGGCTGCCTGGGCCCGAGAAGCTATATTTCTATTTTAGCTCTAGTCCCCGTTGTGATGCCTGTGCCCCCACACTGAGTAGAAAGAGACTTTGAGAAGTACTGCTTTAGAGTCAATGTTGTTATGTGCCATCAAGTCACCTGCGACCCATAGCAACCCTGTGTGCAGCAGCTTTGAAGGCTGCCCTATCTTGAGCCAGTCTCATTAATTCCTACACACCTACCCCTATCACCCCCGTTACTGTATTAATCCATCTCATCCGGGGTCTCCCTCTCTATCCCTCCATCCTTACGAGCATCATGTCTTTTTCCAAGGATTGGTCCTTTCTGGCCACGTGCCCAAAGTATGTGAGATAGAGCTTCAAAATTCTACCCTCCAGGGAGAAACTTAGTTTCACCCTCTACAAGATGGTGTTTTCTTGGTGATCCACGGTATGTTCAAGACTCTTCTCTAGCACCACAACTCAAAGGCATCAGTTCTTCTGTTATCCTTCGATACTGTCCAGCTCTCTGATGCATAGCAAGTAATGGCAAAGACTATGGCCTGAATTAGGCACACCGTAGTCTCTATAGACTGACATCATTGCATTTCAGCACTCTGGAGAGGTCCCTGACAACAGATTTTTCCAATGCAATTCATCTTTTGGTTTCCTAACTTCTGTTGCCAAGAGTGTTGATTGTGGAGCCAAGCAAGCTGTAGTTGTTAACAACCTCAGTCTCTTCTCCATCTATCATGATGCTGCCAGTTGGCCCAGTGGCGAGAATCTTTGCTTTCTTGATGGTGAGCTTCAATTTATATTGAAGACTACAGCCCTTGACCTTCTATAGCAAGTGCTTCAGATCTTTCTCAGTTTCAGCAAGCAAGGTTGTGTCATCTGCATAGTGCAGGTTGTTGATGAGTCTTCCTCCATTCCTCATACCACATTCATCCTCATAAAGCCCGAATGATGTGTTCTTCATATAGATTGAAAAAGTATCAAGACAGGTTGCATCCCTGGTGCACACCTTTCCTGATTTTGAACCATGCAGCGTTTCCTTGCTCTGTTCTGACAGCTGCTTCCTGGTCCAAGTATAGGTTTCCCATAAGCACAATCAAATGTTTTGAGATTTCCATTTTCCTCAAGGTTAGCCACAATTTGTTGTGATCCACACAATTGAAGGCTTTTGCATAGTCAATGAAACAGATAGGCATTCCTCTGGCACTCTCTGCTTTTAGCCAAAATCCATTTGACATTGGTGATAATGTCTCTAGTGCCATGGCCTCTTCTAAACCCAGCTTGTATTTCTGGTAGTTCTCTGTCATTGTACGGTGTCAGTCATTTCGGGATAATCTTCAGCAGAATTTTGCTTGTGTGTGATATTAGTGATATTGTTCGATAATTTCCACACTGTCTGGTCACCTTTTCTTGGAATGGGAATAAATATGGATCTCATCATATAAGTTGGCCAGGTAGTTGTCCTCCAGATTTCTTGCCACAACCTGGTAAACACATCATTGCTGAATACTTCTTACCCTCCTGTCCCCTGTGCTACAGAGTTGCGCTCCTTGCTTTGGTGTCCATATCCTCACATTCCGAGAAAGAGAACCGAGTGCTTTATTTATGATCTATGATATAATCATATGGTATAACTATGGTAAAACCATCCCCCTCCCTTGTTCTAGAACAATACTTCTGTGAGATCCCATTTGCAACAGGCTAGAGACAGCAGCAGGCTAAGAATGGAAGATTACTGTTTGCCTCAAGAATGAGAACTACCTACCACCAAAATGACCACTCTTCTTTGTTCAAATAACTAATAAAGCCCTTAAAATTTGGTCCCAACTGGTTCCCTCTGAAAAAAGTTTGAGTCTGCATCCAAGTGCCCATTATGATCAAGAATTGTTGTAGAAGTCAATTTTATAAAACCCTCAGGTTCACTGCTGAGTCAGTTCCAGCACATGGTGACCCCCTGTAGGGTTTTTAAGTCTGTAAGTGGCAATGAGAGACTGTCCATCTTTCCCCCTTAGAGTCTCGGTGGCTTCAAAATATAGGAGCCACTCGACATTTGAGTTAGCATCACAGCCTGCTGTGGCTACGTCACCGCAGCTCCCTAGAAGCACATTATAATACTAAAATTCTCACAGCCACCATTTTTGAGATAAACCAAACATCCAGTGTATGAAGACGCCTCGAGATTGGGCACGTACTCATACCACCAGCACTGCAGCACAGCTTGACCACTTCTTAGGAAATGTCATCAGCCTTTCCCCCGATCCCATAAAGCCTCTGTGCTGCTTTGCACTCTGAAATTAGTGACACTCTAGGCACTAGCCCCGCTGTCTTCTATTACCTGCTTCAAGTGAAAACGAAGCTGGCCTGTCCACACGCTGCATCAAGACCCTTTTTGTCTAATCCAGAACCCCCACAGTAACACGCTGGCAGAATTGGTTCATACGCCATTTGATCTGGAAATCATCCTACCCCCTGAGTCTTTTCCCCTCCTTCAGACTCCACAAAGAAGTGTCTGCTTTTCTCTAATTCTGGTTTGGATTTGGTCTGGCCTGTGGTACCGCCTGCAGAGGCTCAGAAGGGGAAGTGGGCGCATCATCTCTGAGGACACTGGTTGAAGAGAAATGACCTCCTTCCGCTTTTGCCTGTGCAGTCTTGGCAGTTGACAGTGACAGGCTAGGAGTCCCTGACTGTTTTGATCTGCCCCTGGCCCTCATCTGTCTGATTCTGGGACCTCACAAGGCCCCAAGATTCTCTCAGAGTGTGCTGTGGCTCAGGTGAGTGAGTCCTGGGCCAAGAGTGGAGGGAGCAGGCTCCTAGCCCAGGCTCTGCTTCTGCCCTGACTCATCTGTGACATAAAACTTGCCACTTCCCACTTTGGTTCTGAAAGTGGCTCTGTTCATCCACCTCTGGGTGGTTTCCAGGAATCACAGCATTCTGGAACAGCAGGACCAGAAAGGCCATCTCCTCTAACCCTCTGCCGGCTTGCCTGGATATGGGAGGGCCACATTGGCCAATGAAGGCCAGTGACTTGGCCATAATCATATAGCTACAATGGGCTCAAGTATATCAGAGTTCATGAGGATGGCATAGGAAAGGTTCAGATCCATTGCTCATACGGTTGCAATGAATCCTACTCAAAGGCAAGTAACAACAATAACAATCCTGCTTAATATTTTCTCATCCAAGAAACCCATAGATTCTGCCCCACTTCTCTGGAGCAAAGTGGGGATGCTGGTTACTTCTCAGTGGACTAGGTGCCCTGAAGTCCTCAACTAGCATTTGCTGTGGGAGAGATGAAATGGTTAGCACCATGACATGCCAACAGATCTGATCTTTTACAGATTATAAAGATTGGGTGCTCAGTTGCTACTTGGAAGGTCGGTGGTTCAAAACCTACCAGTCTTTCAACAGGAAAGAAGACCTGTCAATGTGCTTCTATAGAGTTTATAACTTAGGAAACCCTGTGGAGCAGTTTTGCTCTGTCAGATAGAGTCTACTCAACGGCACACCGTGACACCAAGCCATGGGCTTCCCATCTTTCCCTCTAAACTCCCAGCATATCACTGACTCTCGAGTCTGTTGTCTGCCATTGCGTCAGAACTGACTCTTAGCTGACTCTCCAGAGGGTTTTCAGAGGCAGTAAATCACACAGGAGGAGACTGCCCATCCTTCTCCTGTAGAACAGTTGGTGGATTCAAACCACTAGCCTTTGGG